GGTTGCACATTGCAGCCAATCAGTATTGCAGAGGCCAACATTGCAATTATGATAAGCAAACAATATGTTGTGCACCCCTAGACATAACCAAGGTTATGCAGATTTGGTTTAAGAATGCCTTAAATGTTTTTTTTAAACATCTGGTCTGTGACTGACCGAACTGAGTTACTGGATTTCTAATCTACTATTATTTTGACTTCCATCGCTCTCATTAAGTACGGTCCTCCATCTGAATTCCTGTTACCTCAGCACTCTACTGGAATGTCCCAAGATTAGCCCTGTAGATCATAAGGGTTTGGTGGGACTGTTTAAGGACTCGCTGCCTGTTCCCATATTAAATGGGAGGTGAATGGAAAAGAGGTCCATTCACAGTCACACGTGGTACCTCACTGTACTGTACCCTCAACTTCACCAGCCTGAGTGTCAGGACTGTTCCCTGCTTTAGTCTATCATTTGCACTGTTTCATTGATCCAGTAAGATGAACAGAAACCTCCCTTTAACACTCATAAAAACCAATCCAAACCATCCCTTTAATCGCTGCCCCTTTAACACTGGTCATTAGAGTGCCGGCCAATATTTTGACCGGCGAGAGCATCTATTGTACAGAATCACATGATCAGAGGGAGGTCTCTAACATTACATTGAAGGTATTCTCAAGGCCATTCTTAGCTTACGCTTATGCTAAAACTAAACAATGTTTTGTAAATATTCTGAAGAACTGAAAAGAAAATGTGTCAAGGTTTTTAAGTGAAATATGTATTAACTTCTGCTGAAATCTTTTCTATTATCTATAATATTTTCTATTTCTATGAATGACAGAAACAAACTGTGAGAAACGAAACAAGCTGGTACGCTCTTAAAAATAAAGGTTCCTGAATGGTTTCTGCCTTGGATGTAGAGTTCTAGGAAAAGACTTTAATTGGTATGGAACCTTCATACCAAGTGGTGGTTCTTCACATTGTGAAAAGCATCTCATGCATTTACAGAAAGAGCCGTTCTTTAGAGAACCAAGTGGTTCTTCTACAGCAGCCCTTTCTTGGTACCTTTATTTTTAAGATTGTAATTGGATCAAGTGTCCAGTACGAATATCTTAGCTCCCCATACCTGACTCTCCAAGTCATGTCCAAGGGAATGGGGACATTTCTGAATGTGAACAGTGTTCAAAAAGACCTTTTTAACTCAAGATAATGACGAACAAGGTCTACTGTTTCTTGTACTGAAGTTATGGTAGATAACCTATCTTGCCAGGTTGGGCTCCCCACCTAAGACTACTCCAAATTCCACATTTGGAGCAGAAAGCTGATCACAGATCAGCACGTGTGGGGAAATAAAACAACCCATAACTACCTACAGCTGATCAATGCTGCTAGAAGCAACTTCTGTGTGATCAACTGGACTCTTGACCTCTTAACATGAACACTAAAAATACATTCACTCTGAGATTTGTATGGGACTTTTACGTCTGTTTGTGTGTATGTGTGCAGTATATGTATCTGTCACGGCGATGTGGAAGAGAACAAGGCTGCCTCTCCAGTGCCAAACTTTCAGGGATATGAGAGGTTGGATGTGCAATGTGGAATGAAAGATTAAGTGGCATTTATCTGCTGGAACAGTTTAAGGTATCCAATGGCCATGTGAGTTTCAAAGGCCTACATTTTCCAATCTGTAAATTTCCTCCAGGCTATTACACCATCGAAGAACAGTACTATCACGTGCAGGTTATCCAGGCTTGTGCAGTGTGCTGAAAAACAACAACACCTTCATAAACCATGCTGCTGCACAGCGTTAATCGTCTTCTTGACTTTGCAAAACTAGGCTGGCTTTGGATAAAACCCATGGTAGTATTTCTTTAATTAACTTTGTATGATAATAACTCACCATATTTAGATTTTCTATGTGAACTGGAGACAGTCAGACGGTCTAGGTTGCTGTAAATGTGGTTTTGCTGGATCTTCTGGTTTACGTTGAAGTAACTCTGATGTTTCTGATGTGAATGTTTTTGGATATACTGAAGCCCAGGCTATGTCTGAGCAGTCACTCATCTGCTTATTAATGCAGACTGGTTAACAGTTTCTCTGTTTTATGCTACTATGTACTGTTAATGAGGGATATTTTAATCTGTCTACAGATTGTATTGTATTCCAAAAGATCTTTCATTAAAAAGGGAAGAACTTGAACAAGTGAATGAAGTGATTGCCTTGGATTTATTGTGTCCTGTACCAGTAGATCTTTGTCTAGTGTGTGAAGTGACCAGACAACAGCTGTAAAATGCCAACACTTTTTACCAGCTACTTTATTATTACTCCTAACCTTGTAGGTTCATCTCGCTGTTGTGCAGTTAAAAGCTGTACAATACTGTGTAGAAGTCAGAGACCACCATTGATTTATTAGATTTCCAGTCAAAATGGCCATTAAGTACCAGTTATTCAGGAAAAATGCAGAAACATATTTAACAGAAAATTACAAGAAGCCTCAACAACTAAATATGATCAAATATTTCAGTATTTTTACTCTGCCTTTATTACAACTTTCATTCTTTTACGGAGACGTCTTTTCAGTTCTTCAAAGAAATCCTTAGGGATATTTTTTTCACACCTCCAAATTCAGTCTCAGAACTTTGTTGCATTTTCTGCTTCTCACAATCCAAATATAACAAACACACTCAGTGAAGTTCTCAGTAACAAGTTTAGTTCTGGACTCTGGGGTGGTCAGTCCACTGTTCTGAGATCATCAGCAGCTTCTTTTTTTTGAATTGCGGATTTCTTCTTTTTTGTTTGTTTCCTTTTATCAGTGAGAGCTTTTTGACAGCTACACATCCTTTCAGACTCATGGTGCTGAGTTGCTCTTCTCACAGTGGAAGGATGAACAGAAACAGCTGTGGATTTTTTCAGATCTGAAGGAAGAGTGGAGCTTGATTTTCTCCTCTCTCTCAAAGACGAAGCTTTAACTACTATTTACTTGATGCTGACAGTTTGGTGGTCTCAGACAGAGCTTCCCAATCCTACTGAGCCTGCACTGTGCACATTTTTGTGTTTTCCCTGCTCTCTACACACCTCACCCAGCCCATGAGGGGCTTGTTGATTAGTTCATGAGTTGGATCAGGTGCTTAATGACACAAAGATGTGCATAGTGTGGGGTCGCCAGGACTGGAAACCCCTGGTCAACCAGGTCTTGCATCTGTGTTAGGAGTCCCATTTCCTATACATCTGTAAATACTGTTTTGACCTCCTGTTTTTTTCACTTATTTCCCTTTGACTGTCCCTTCCTTATGCAAGTAGATCTCACATCTAAACTTGTACTTTCATTTGTAATGGCACCAAGAGTGCTTGTGTCCACCACGGCCTTATTAGACTCTTTATATTGGTCATCAAAGGCATGTGGACATTCACCAAGAGCCTGAACAGAGCAATTTCCAGTGCTCAGACTGTCCTAATGACTTCAGGAGCATAAACAGGCTGTTATGAGAAGACGGGCTCATCCTGCCTGTCAGCTGTGCTTTCCAGAGACTGGTAAGAGATGTGAGCCCACACCCTCAGGCTCAGAAGTATAGCTTTGAAGAACAAACATGTTTTTTTTTTGGCCCAGAGCTTCTAAAGTAGAGAGCGGACCAATACTACGATATCAGTACTTCAGATCCTGACATTTCTTTTTGAGAATCGATCCTAACATGACATTATAAGTGTTTTCTTTAGTCAGATTCAATTCAACTCAATTCAACGCAGAAATACACTGAAGACGAATCCTCTTTCCCATTATAGCCAAGTAAACACACACGTACACACACAGAAAAAACAAAAGTAATTTGTAACATAGATAGGAAAATGGAAAAATTATATATAGTAAAAAAATAAAAACAAAAATAAAAAAACAAAACAACAAAATTAATAAAATAAACAGAAAAAAATTAAACTGATGGTGAAAAAGTAAAGCATTATCATAGCAAATGAATAGGGAAGGAAAAATAGTTCCTGTCTTGCACATTTATTTGCCAGATTGTTTTACTTACCACAGCAAAAAAAACACTGCTTCTCACCACACAGGCACAGACAGCCACAGGAGACTCAGTGCTTGCTGCATAATGACAGATTATTTGGCGTTATTTCCATAAACAGACAGTTTATGTGGTAAGGAGCACCCAAAAGGACATCGGAAGAAAAGACACATTACATTTACATTTCTTTTGAACTCGGTCTCAAATACAAAGACACAGTTTCAGTGCTTGCCAACAGACTTGGTTGCAGCAGACTGTTTCAGAGGAAGGCTTACACAAATATATCCTATAGGTTTTTATTCAAGAGCAACTTTATTCTGGACCATCTTATAGCTGCAGGTGGATGCATGCCAAGTGTATAGAGATTAACCTGCGCGCAAAAAAAGAAGACTTCCAGACCTCCCAAGACTTCCTGAGAAAATTATCTCGAGATAATTTGAGAAAAAAAAAAAACTCAGGTTATATCGCATTTTGAGTTTTATTTTTTGTTTGTTTGTTTTTTAACCCATTATAGAAAAACCCGTGTTATTTCTTTCCCCATGTCCTTTCAGTGGCTCTGAGATGTGGCAGCTTATTTAATACTAAGGCAAAGACTTTCAAATATAATTTTTAACGTCCACTTTTTTGCTGGTTTTCACAGTATAAATCACAAATAATTTATTTACTTTAATTTGTTTTACTTTAAATTATATTTAATTTAAAAAGTATGAGTACTGCTGTCAGGATATAAGCCCTGAATTAGTGGTATCCCCCATCCAGGCTTTGCCGTATGAGGCGGAACGGAAAATCTAAATAAAAAATGGCAAAAAAAACAGCTTCAGCTTTATTTACGGTTCACTCATCCGCGCCCTTTCTGTTGTACCGGTACGTCTTTTGAAACAGTGCTGGTTACACATGTTCACAGTGAGGGTGAACCTCTGTAAATGTCTGTATGTACTCTCTTCTCTTTTCGGCGGAACCAAAGATGTGCGCTGTGCTTCACTCCGGACTGAGAGAGCGCGGCGCTGTGTGTGTGTGTGTGTGTGTGTGAGAGTGTGTGATATCAGTGTGTGTGTGTGTGAGAAAGGCCCATGTGGAGAGACAGCGGCTCGGCTCAGACCTGCGGGGACACAGCGGCGGCTCTTATGCGGCGGAGAGTGAGCGGACAGCAGTGAGCAGCATGCTGAAGGAGGCTGTGGAGAGCCAGAGCACGGCGGTCTTCACCGCCCTCGCCGGTGAGAGAAAGCAGCAGAGACCCTAACCGCTCTCACACACTTTAACCTGCCCCTCTCTCTCATACTCACATTAGCGCGTTAGCCGGTGAGCTAGTGAGTGAGCGGCGTTAGCACAGAGAGCTAAACCGCCTTCTCACTTCCTTCAGCCTACTAACGCGCTCTGTCCTCTCAGACGTGCTTCAGCTCATGAACCGAATCTGTTTATAAGCAGCTGCTGTGGCCAAAATGAGCTCCCTCCTCTCGTGGCTGCCTAAATTAGTGTCCGTGATTCCAGAGAGGCCAGTGATATTAAGGTCACATCAAAATAAACCTCTCTGAATATCAGCTGCCAAGATGTAATGTGTACGTATAAATAAAGCTGAGCAGGAGTGACTGGCCTGGAGGACACAGCCTGTTAGCTAAAGGGGAAGTCCACTTAGATTTAGAAGAGGTCTGCACCATTGAATAGTTCAGATGTAAGTCATTAAGAGTGGTGTGATGTGAAATGCTTTGTTCTAGAGAAACTGAGTCAGACTTGTTCACAGTGGTGGTCGTCTGAGTGGTTCAGTGCTTTTAAAGGCTCTCTCACAGAAACCTATTACATAAATGGTCACAAATATTGGCCTAGTGCTTGTTTTTTTGAAATCCATTCATGGTGGAGAGCTACATGCAGAGGGCTGTGAGGCAAAATAGTCCCCAAACAAAACTTTTTTTTTTTTTCTTTTCTGTTACCAACTTTACATAGGAAAACTTAGAAGATGTGTATGTTAACTGGTTGTTGTAGATGTTAAATAAAATGGGAATATTTAAACATGGCAACCTCTGGTTCTCATCACCACCACTGTGAAGAAATTCAGGTTGGTGCATTTCTCTATTATGAACCATTTCACTTCACACTGCTTGAAATAGCTTTGTTTACACCTCAGCAATTCAGTTATGCTGGAATTTTGAAAAAGTCTATGAAATTCCGCTTTGTGAATAAGCTGGTTTCTTTCTTTAGCCTGGTTCTTCTTAGATCTTCTGATTTTAATGACACTTTATCACGTTACAGTTATTGACTGCTTGCGTATTCTGTAGCGTTCTGATGTCTAGTTTATGGAAGTGTGTTGATGACCAAGTTAATAATACAGGAGGATTAAAACTGCTGAATGAGTAAAACTTTATATTGTCTTATAAGCCACACTGTTTTGATAGGATCCTTATTCACTCTCACTTCGGTTTTGTCTCTTCTCTCAATCAGGATCGGTACAAGTGCAGGTAGAACCGGTGGGCCGCTGGTTTGAGGCGTTTCTGAAACGAAGGATTCGAAATGTATCCGCCTCATTCCAAGAGCTGGAGGAGGAAGAGGAATTATCAGAGGAGGAGGAAGATGAGGAGCTGCAGCTGGAGGAATATCCCATGCTGAAGACACTGGACCCCAAAGACTGGAAGGTGCTGTCCGGAGTGCCTGTCAGATAACATGTTAAACAACAAACGTCTCAACATCATTTAGTGAACGTTCATGTTTTGGAGATTCAGTGTCGTAATTGGGACCAAATGGAAAGGCAGTGGGTTAACAGCAGGTTATCATGATATCAGGCTTTGCAAAACTTGCAAAAAAGAAGGTTGCAGTGTGTAAATAAGCCTTGTAAACAATCACAGTGGCCCTTATTTTGCAAAGTTGCATACCTGCACAAACACGTCTGGTAGGTTTGTGTAGTTGTGTACTTGATTTGAGGTTAGCTAACCAAAACTGTTATCATCTACAATACAAATCATGAGAATATAAAATAGAAAGTAATAATAAAAAATAGAAAGTGGCAGTAACACTAATAATTTGTTTGCATGGCAATCAAGCACAAAAGTAGATGTAGTAGTTTTACATGCATATTGGTATAAACAAATACTGCAACTATTCTGTGTTCCATTTAAAGACATATTACACTGTGTTTTTGTTTTACACTACTGACACCACCCAAAAATAAAACCTACAAAATAGCTACTGCAGAAGTATCTCAAACGCTGCAGTGATACAACGTTTAAATATGTTATTTTAGGAAAATAATCACACTACACAATCACATCATTCTACTGTTCTAAAAAAGGCATCTTATTTATTTCACATTTTATTCTTTGCAGTTATTGTAATTTTAACAATATAAAGTTTGCTCAGTAGTGGGAGCCGTGCACTCGCTGCTCAACCTTAAACTTTGCTTACCAGCACAGCCGCTGGCTCATGAGCCACTGAAAGTTGTTTTATTGGCTCCCTTCACATCTGCATGAATTAGGAGTTGCTTCATGTTAATGAGATACAGGTAGGTTGGCACTGAAGCCGATTCATCATTAGTGCCCAAATTTCCACTTGTTTCCAAGTCGTGTGAAAGTTTCATAAATCAAATGCAGAGTAGTTCATATGTCATTAATAGAGGTCAAATCTGTTTTCTGGGCTACTTTGATTAATAAGGGCCAGTGTCTTTTGAGGTGCTTTGTGAAAACAGGCCCTGTTTAAGAACTTACATACAGATAGTTATGGAAATCAGAAGACCCCTGTATAGTCCAGTAGCGTGTTTCTCTCTTTGTAAAGCATAATAATGAGAGAGTTTCCCATAATTGTGACTTACTTTATCAGAATTATTACATGCTTTCTCATGACGTAGTCACAATTATGAGATACTGTCATAATTATGATGTAGTATTTCATATTAATGAACTTAGCATCTCATAATCATGACTTACTGACTCATAATTATGATAACATTTTCTCATTATTATGAGACACTAAGTTGTCATTATGATATACTGTATGATATAATATATTCCTCTCCCCTGCAGAATCAAGATCACTATGCTGTACTGGGTTTGGCTCATTTGAGGTACAAGGCAACCCAGAAACAGATCAAAGCTGCTCGTAAGTGTCTTTCTACTGTTAACAATAAAAATGCTTAAATTATTTGTGTAAATTTTATGTTTTTCTTTGTGGTTCAAATAAGGTCAATGCCAGCTTGTTCATATTTTAGCAGAGAAATTGATTTCTCATTCTGTCAGTCTCTAATATGCATTGCTTCTCTGCAGATAAAGCAATGGTGCTGAAACATCATCCGGACAAAAGAAAAGCAGCAGGCGAGCAGATAGTGAAAGGAGACAATGATTATTTCACCTGCATAACTAAAGGTAAGGAGCACACCTGCTCATCCAAGTGTGACAGCGCTGTATGACGTCACATATTTACATCAAATACTCTACAGTCCCAATATTGGTTTCTGAGTGTGTCTTTTGTTGCATATTCCAGCAATAGAGATTCTGTCAGACCTTGTGAAGCGACGAGCGTTTGACAGTGTGGACCCCACCTTTGATAACGCAGTGCCGTCCAAGGCAGAAGGCAAAGAAAACTTCTTTGAAGTGTTTGCTCCTGTTTTTGAGAGGAATGCGAGGTACGGGTTGCTCTTGTTACTGTGCACAGAAAGAGTGCAGGCGAACAGCAGTTGTGCTAAGTGTGCTGTGTCTCTTAACAGGTGGTCCACTAAAAAACAAATCCCCAACCTTGGATCCATGGAGTCATCGTTTGAGGAAGTGGATAATTTCTATTCTTTTTGGTGAGTTCTGAACTACGACTGATTATGGTTCTCTACAGTTATTTACTAGCTTAGTGCCTGACTCTTAGAGGAGCAGTCTACATAATTTAGACATTTTTAACCCTAAGGATAGTGTGGAGGAGGAGGTTGTCAAAGTAGTTGAGTTGGCAAAAGAAGCTGCAATGTTAAAGGGGAGTTCCCACCAGTCTTTCAATATTTTTGCCTAATTAAATTGTTAAGATGTAAGCAAAGTCATTCAGAGTGGTTTGATTTGAAATGCTCCATTGTCAAGAGACTTATAGAATTGCTAACAGTGATGGTGATTGGAACCAGACATCTAAGGCATTTCATATATAAAGGTGACACATTTAAAAGTGACAGTTTCCTTATGTGGAAAAAGTAAGCACACCCCTACATATATATCACTTTCTTATTTAATATCTGATATCTATTCTGTTATTTTTTTTGTTTTGTTTTTGGAGATTGGTGCATCATCATGCCTAGATCAAGAGTTCTCTGAGGCCTTCTGAAAGAAGGTTGTAGATGCCTAAGAGTCTGAGTCTTTCTATAATATTAGAAGTCAATCTTTCCACTGGCTGGAATATCATCTACAGGTAGAGAAGATTTAAAACCACACGGCAGGCTTTCCCAGCAAATTTAACCTGAGAGCAGAAGAACATCAGGACAAGTCTGAAGTTTGCTATTCGATATCTAGGCAAGGACCAGAACTTCTGGAACAATGTCCTATGGACAGGCAAGTCAAAGATAGAGTTGTACCAGAAGCAAAGACTAAAGACAGCATTTCATCAGAAGAACATCATACCAACTGTAAAGGATGGTGGTGGAAATGCTATGGTTTGGGGCTGCTTATGAATTCTTTCGTACCAGAGAGTGCTTGAGGAGAATGTGAGGCCATCTGCCAACAAGTTAAAGCTGAAGATGTGGACTCTTCAACAGGACAAAGATCCCAGACATATAAGTAAATCCACTAAGGAAAGGCTTAAATGGAAGAAATAGTGGGTTGTGAAATGCCATAGTCAAAGCTCAGATCTAAATTCCATTCAAATGCTGTGGGGGGATTTGGAACGGGCCATACATGCAAGAAACCACTCAAATATTGCACAGTGGAAATAATTCTGCATGAGGGAGTGGGCTACGTCTGTCAAAAGGGTTAATACCATTTACTGAAGAAAGGGCTGTGTGCCAGAGGCGTGCTTACTTTTTCAACAGGAAAAAAAAAGACATCAGTTAATTTGTTTTTAAATAAATTATGGCAAAGTCACATTTTTGCTTTGTTTTTTATTAATTTAAGTAACATTTATCTATACATACATTTTAGCTGATAAGGAAACATTTCATGGGGTGTACTAACTTCACAAGACACTACCCCAATTTTACCATCATCAGCATTACATATTAAAATCACAGTGCAGGTGCACTTGTCGTATTGGATGGTTAAAAATAAATCACTGGAATTCTCCTTTAAGTATGTAAATTCTAAATTGGTGCATGATCAGATGAACAGAGAGGGCGTTCACAGATTTGTCTTATAAAGTCATATAAGCAGTTAGTCTCACCGTGTTTGCAGTGTTTTCTTCCATATTAATCAATTTATTTCAACACAAATGCACATCAATTTCGTATTCATTCGTTTATTCTTGAATTCATTTGTTCACAAGGTACAACTTTGACTCATGGAGAGAATTTTCATACTTGGATGAAGAGGAAAAAGAAAAGGCAGAATGGTAAAAAAAGTTAAAATCTATTACATCTCTAAAACTTCTCTCACCACCACTATTTTATTTGGTTAACATTTTTCTTTTTTTTTTAAACCAGTCGAGATGAAAGAAGATGGATTGAGAAGCAGAACCGGGCATCTCGAGCCCAGAGGAAGAAGGAAGAAATGAATAGGATACGAACACTTGTGGGTACGACCATTTCAGCTGTCTCTCCTTAAAGTGCTTAGTGCTGAATGCTGTTTAGGGAATTTTATTACCGCAGACCAATTCTGTACTGATGTGTTGCAGATACCGCATACAGCTGCGACCCAAGAATAAAGAAATTCAAGGAGGAGGAGAAAGCCAGGAAGGAATTGGAGAAGAAGGCCAAAGCTGAGGCCAAGAAGAAAGAGCAAGAGGAAAAGGAGCGGGTCAGTTACTCAGATAGATGAGCTGTGGTGACGGAGGGCTTTAAGAGTGTAAAAAGAGTTCCTCATGGGCTCTTTTTAAGTATCAAGGTTCTGTATGGGTGGAAAATTTCTCCAGATATTTGCAAATTTAAGCATATTCACAATGTCAGTTGCGGATTAGAGGAACGTACAGTAGACCTATGTTTTTGCTTATAGAATCTTGGTGTTCACATTTATCTTATGAGTGTTAATTAGGTTTAGATTTAGGTGGTGATTCGGCCGGGTATTTTGGTTAACAAGCTATTATCAGAAACTTTGCACCAGGAATATTATACTGTCCTTTTGAGTATTTCCGAGGAAAGAAACAAAACGTACAGTACTCTGTAGTCTTATAGATTGTTGTTTATTATTTTTGTTGTTTTTATTGTAATAATGCAAACGATCAAGTAGTTTTGACCCATTTAGTCACCTTGTAAAGTAAGCCGTTTTCTGAAATCTGAACGTCTGTTGTAAGATGGTTGGTACATTGTGTTTTGCTGTCCTGCAGGCTCGACAGGCAGAGTTGGAAGCAGCTCGTTTGGCTAGAGAGAAGGAGGAAGAAGAGGCCAAACAGGCAGCCCAGCTGGCCAAGAAAGAGAAGGAGGCCCAGAAGAAAGCCATCAAGAAAGAGAGACAGAAACTCAGGACAACATGCAAGGTAAGAGAGACTTCCTATCAGCTGCTGAAGTCTGATAATATATGGTTTCTCTCGATTCTACATTACCTTTTTTCTTGGTTTGTGTTTCTCTTGGTCAGAACTATAATTACTTTGTGGATACGGAGGCGGAGAGTGTGAAGATGATGGAGGACGTTGAGAAGTTGTGTGATCGATTAGAACTTATCAGGTATTGATTTTTTAGGTTTTTTCTTTTTCTTCTCATTCTACATTACAGTGTGTGCAATGAGCCGAGAAGAAGCAGATTATTTGTGCTTTAAATGAATGTTTAAATTGTTTTTTGTTTTTTTTTTCTTTCTAGTTTACAGAACTTGAATGAGGTTTTAGCATCAGGCAATAAGGAGCAGAGTAGAGCTGCCGTAGAAAAACAGGTAAGCACAAAGCAAGCGAAACAAGCATTCTGGGCGGATTGTTTTGAGCTCAAAACTTAATTGTTTTCAAACAACATTTTAGTGTTGAATTTGAACATTTTCTCAATGTCGGAATGGTAGCAAGTATTGCGCATGCAGTCAGTCATGCTGATATTCTGTTTTGAATGAAGCAACAAAACTAAAACACCATTTTGAAATATAAACTAATTTAAGCAGAGGATTTGTTCTCAGCTGTAGGAAGCAGATGGGTTGTGCTTAAAATTTGAAGTAGGGTTCCTGTGGATCCTTAAAGTCATAAACTCTTAAAACATTTACTTATAAGGTCTTGAAACAAGAGTATGAAAATTTCAGGTAGTAAAATTTAATTTCACTGTTTTAAACATCATTTAATCATTATATTATGCATTTTTACTGTTTTAAAGTGGAAAATTAAAACGTAATATCTGCAGCTCTGACGTTTCCACTGTTTAAACTAGCCACCTTTTGTCTAAACATTGGAATGTAAAATGTGAGTGCGTGGCTAGAGGCTGTTTTCTGCCACAGGCCACCAAAATCCTGTAGTAAATATTCTCTCTCGAGTCATGAAAGGTTGGAAACAAAAGTATCATAATGTTGTTCTTTACTGGCTGCGTCTGCCATTTCTGGTTTGAAACTGACATTAACGCGTTCAGAGTGAGAAAGGAGCAGCTACTGTGTGCACATTAGAGCAATATGAATTTGAAGCATATTCACCATCCTGAAAAAGGTTATTTTGCACAAGTAATCCAAAACAACCCAAAATGTCAGTTCAGAGTGTATACCACTATGCACATGTAATGCTGAATATTAAAGCAAATGGTTGCCAAATCATCAGGGAGGTCAGATCATTGATCATAATCAATTTTCAACGCAGTATAAAATGGTAAAAAGTAAGCTTAAAAAATGCATGTCCAGAATGTCACAATACAAATGTAATAAAAATATAGTAATTTCACTGTAGTATTGATCAGAGTAGCATAATCCTACTTAAACTGTGTAGCTGTACATCTGTAAAAACACAAAGATGAGCATGGGCTAATACTTCATATTAAAGAATATTAAAGAACTCTGATCAGGTCAAGAGCAAAAACACAAATCAGGACATCTAATCTATGTTAAAACATAGAGAACAGCAGAACTGTTCACTGAAACACACTGAAAGACAGTGTAAGGATTGTGCCATGTCAAAGCATATATACATGTTTTTTCCATCAGCTGGTTTGAATCAAATAAAATAGATACCAATACATGCTGTATTTGAGTGTGTGCTGATGTGCAGTGGAAATTGAATTCTTTTTGTCTGCTGAGGTCCTAAAAAGGTATTAATAATTGATTTTAAACTTGTGCAGCAACCCTGTTTAGTATACAAAATGTATTCTAATGTTGAATGGATACAAATGTACAGAAAGTCAGTGCTCATTTCTTTACATCTAAATGCACCTAAATATATGCAGGATGCACCCTTCGTATAAGCATTGTGCAAAACATACAGCAGAAAAAAGAATGAAAGTTGTCTATAATTGAAAAATAAAAAAATCATAATTTTAAATTACTGATGTCTGCGCTGAGTCATACTGATTGTTACCAAAAGCACTAAGGAATATGTATGAGAGTGAAGTATGAGAAAAACACAAATTTCTCCAGTACACCAGCGATACCCATGTGAGACACAACTGCGGCAAAATATTCCAGAGCACACCCAGAGCTATCTTCATGATCTACTGCATCCCAAAATGCAGTGTAGTCATTTTAGGAGGACATAACCGCCTGGTTTGCTCTGAACCTTTTAATAACCCCAGTTTCAGCCTAGTACGGCTGTGTAAATGAATGAAAGGAAATAATTTGCCCTGCCGCTACACTCAGTGTGATGCTAAAGCACCATCACTTTTGATATCACAATGATTTATTCAGTTTTGATTCTTTGGCTATGAATTTAATGGAAATGAATGTTTCAGATTGCTGTGTGAAATACCCCGAGCTCCTGGTGGCCAAGTGTTTTGAATGCATGTGCTTTGTCTGTCTATATGCACAGGTGCAGGAAGTGAATGCGCAGCTGCAGCGTGAGCGAGAGGCTGAGGTGAAGGCCCAGCAGGCGGCGCGCAGCTTAGACCAGTCCAGTATCGGCACCGGAGGTAGCAAAGGCTGGAACGAGGAGGACGTGCAGCTGCTTATCAAAGCGGTCAACCTGTTTCCTGCTGGAACCAATGCCAGGTGAGCCACTTACTCAGAAACACCCGCATAATCCTGCAGTCACATGGCTGTGGCCTCTTACTATGGGCTGTGCTTTCTGTCTTGCAGATGGGAAGTAATTGCCAACTACATGAACTTGCATTCAAGTAGTGGCATTAAAAGAACCGCCAAAGATGTTATTAATAAAGCTAAGACTCTACAGAAACTAGGTGAGTTCTTGTTACATTTCAGTTTGATGCTTTGCTTGTATCAAGAACAGAAAAACCTCATCTGACTCCTGTTTCTAGACCCTCACCAAAAGGATGAAGTTAACAAAAAGGCCTTTGAGAAGTTTAAGAAAGAGCATGCAGCTGTTCCCTCATCTGTAGACAATGTTGTGCCTTCAGAACGGTTCGATGGTGAGTTTTGTTTACATTCCTATTACATGTGATCAGTGCAAACCTTTAAGTGCCTTTAGCACAACGCTAACAGAAAGCCTTTTATGACAAGATGTCATCAACTTGGCAGTGGTCCATATTTACACTGTCTGTCTGATTCGGGGGACACCTAGCTAATACAAATGAGTGTTTTCCCTGTTGGTTTGCAATAATGTGACTTTAAACAGAAAGCATTCATACAGTTTTTTTGAGAACATTGCAAAAATGAAGGAGCAATTGAGAAAAGTACTGCCTTGATAATTATGACAGACCCCCCATACATTTTAATCATGTTACATTTAACAACAGTTGAAAATAAAGAATTGTTTCAGGTAAAATCTACTCATCATACCAAGAAACGGACTTTGATGAAAACTAAGTATTACTAAATAACTTTACTCAAATTTCAGAAGATGGCCAGGTGTCTTCTCGTTTTGTGGGGCAAGACCTGATCTTGTAACAAGAATATTCGTGGGGGCAACCTGTTAAGCTGGATTGCAGTAGAATCTTCCATTGACAAGAGTATGCCCCCGCTACAACTCATCCCAAAATCCTCGTCCTAGCTCTATTAACAATAAGACAAACAAGCTAGAAAGCAAATTGTTATGCTTACCTGATGAAATTGCCCCCCCTCCCCCCACATTAAGCCCAAAATTTCTCATGGCCTCAGACATTCTTATTACGAGATCATATTTGGCCCTATAAGACAAGGTGTTTATATGCTATTGACAGGCAGAGTAACTTTTCATACAATTAATTTTTTCTGCCATTTTTTTGTTCCCTCTCTTTAGGCTCAACCGGTGACTCTGCTCCCTGGACAACAGAGGAGCAAAAGCTCCTCGAACAGGCTCTTAAGACCTACCCTGTCAGCACTCCCGAGAGATGGGACAAGATTGCAGCCACTGTGCCTGGACGCACCAAGAAAGATTGTATGAAAAGATACAAAGTAAGTACACTATTCCACTTGTATAATTAGTTTGTTATACATCATTTGGGTACTGAGATCATTTAATAGCACCCCGAACTGACTGCTGAATCATTATTAACTGAGGCACATTCTAAATGCTCATGTCTTTGTCTCTGCCCGACAGGAACTTGTGGAGATGATTAAAGCAAAGAAAGCTGCCCAGGAACAAGTTGCTGCTAAGAGTAAAAAATGACAAATTAACCACAAGAAATGAACCACATGCACACACAGCTCCATGTTCTTTTAACGTTATTGTGTTGTTCTTTATTTTATAATAAAATTAAAGGAAAATGCACAGACTACACAGATACTTGGTTGTGAATGTACAGACGGCGTTGAAGTTCCTCTGTTTTCTCAGGTTCTTAACCAGTACATCCCACTTTTGATCTGGTTGTAGTCTGGGAGCTGCTCAACAGGTCCTGCAACACATTCAGTGTGACGGATTACAGTAGAACACTCACAATATAAAACTGGGCTAGACATTCAGCTGTTGCAACAATAAGACCATAGAAATATATTCTTTGTAATACAGTTCAGACACCTGCTGTTTAATTTGCATTTAAAAAAATAAAAACCTAGTTAAAAGCATCCAGCTCAACTAGGGTTTCAGGTTTGTATGGCTTAAGTTAAATATGTATTTATTCATTTATTGATTGAGTATCCCATTGCACAATATGGAAAAGATTGTTTTATGATTGGGCATGTTTAATAGATATAGACTTGACTAGTGAATTACAACTTTTTTTTAAGGTGCTGTAAAGAACGATGTAGGCAGTACATACCAACAGCTGCTATTGCTGGGGCTTTGTTGTAGATGTACTTTGTACACACTTCCTTAATGGTATTTGCATCTATGGCCTAGGTGTCGACAAAAAAGGTAGGGCAGAGTTAAGGCAATCAAATTTCCTGTTTTTGAAACAACTTTGCAAAAGATTTGATGAAGTGAAAGATGATCTGGAAAGGGAGCGGTGTCACTCACATCTATCCTGGCCTCCAGCTCATGCAGTGGAATTCTGCGACTGTAGCAGAGCATCTGCCTCCCAATGTCCTCACAGATGGGTGTGGAACCTAATGAGTATAATGAACGAGACATTATACATTCCTAGACTTGTGGAGTCCCAAGTGCTTTAATGGTGTTTGTGTTGCTCCATTTTACTGAAACAGATATGAGGTATTGGAAACCTTCTAATCTACACACCAGGTTGTTTTTGTAGCTCATTTACTTACCATCCAGGTGAAGCAGCATGTTGGTCTTGAGGAGATTCTTTGCTCTTGCTACTTCACTCTCTGTTACGCTGGTGCACAGAGACATCCTACCACCACAACACAAAGCAAAAGCTTATATAATCTCAAAGAAAAACATTCTTCAATATTTTATGCTTTTTTTGGAAAGCTTACATGCTTTCCTTGACATTAAGGTGATCATTAGTCCACAAAGTCTATTAAGGAAAAAAGTTGAGCTACTGACATGTTTACCTAAAAACATGCTGTCATTCTGCCAGATTGCAATACACTATAGGAATTGTTGGGGTTGGTGCAGTACGAGAAACTGTGATAATCGTTGAGTTGATTAATCAAATAATAAATTAATCAGTGTTTGCAGTTGTAGCCTTGGTTTTAGGTTAAGATTGTGAAGTACTGGACCAAATTGCAGCCTACATTTTGGCATAATTCACTCTCATGAAAAAGCCAGCAAGTCAAATCTCATATTACCAACTTGATTTCCAATCACATACACATGGTCCAAGAACGCTTGAGAAATGTTTTAATTAAAAAACTGAGCTTTCTTTAAAAGGTTTTACTAAATAAATAAATAATTAATAAATACAGTTGAAGTCATAAGTTTACATACACTTTGGTTGAAGTGAGGATGAATTCAGATTCATTTATTCCCTTTATAGATTCCATGTAAACAAATTAGTTTAGCAAGTTGTTCAGGATATCTACTTTGTATGTAACACAAGCAATTTTTCCAAGAAATGTCTACAAACACAGTATTTCACTTATAATGCACTATCAAAATTCCAGTGGGTCAGACGTATACATACACCAAGAAAACAATAGAATGTCGTTAGAAGCTTGACATTTGACAAATGACAATTGTTTGGGTTAACTGGAGGCTACCTGTGGCAATATTTTAAGGCCTACATTCAAGACCTACTTGCCTCTTTGCTTCACATCATGGGAAAATGAAAATCAAAGAAATCAACCAAGACATCAGAAAAAGAATTGTGGACCTTCACAAGTCTGGTACATCCTTGGGAGCAATTTCTGAACACCTGAAAGTATCACAATCATCTGTTCAAACGATGATTTGCAAGTTTAAACACCATGGAACCATGCAGCAATCATACCGTTCAGGAAGGAGATGCTTTCTGTTTTCTAGAGATGAACATACACTATATAGACAAACGTATTGGGACACACCTCTTAATCACTGAAGTCAAGTGTTTCATTCAGGACCACTGGCACAGGTGTATAAAATCAAGCACCTAGCCATTTACTGCCTTTACAAACATTTGTGAAATAATGGGTTGTTGTAAAGAGCTCACTGAATTTGAGTGTGGCACTATAATAGGATTCCACCGTTGCAAGAAGTTAGTTTGCAAAATTTCTTCTCTCCTAGATATTCCACAATCAACTGTGAGTGGTATTATTGAAAGGTGGAAGTATTTAGGAACCACAGCAACTCAGGTTGACGAGTGCTGAGGCCCATAGTGCATGAAGTCACCAATGCTCTGCTGACTTAACTGCAGAGTTCCAAATCTCCTCCAGCATGACTGAGCCCCAGTGCACAAAGCAAGGTCCATAAAGGCATGGCTGGGTGAGCTTGGAGTGTAAGAACTTGACTGGCCCTCTCATCCAACATCAGTGTCTGACCTCACAAATACTCCTCTGGATGAACAGGCAAAAATTCCCACAGACACACTCCAAAATCTTGTAGAAAGCTTCCCAGGAAAGTGGAAGCTGTTATAGCTCCAAAGGCGGGACCAACTCCATATTATGGCACAAATGGGTCTTCTAAATGGACAATAACCCCAAGCATACTTTCAAATTTGTGGCAAAATGGCTTAAGGACAACAAAGTGAAGGTAATGGAATGGCCATGCCCTGATCTCAATCCCATAGACAATTTATGGCCAGAACTGAAAAAGTGAGCAAGGAGACCTACAAAAATGAAAAGGTTAAACAATTATCAATACAAAACAGGTATGTAAACTTCCAAGCCACTGGAATGTGTTGAAAGAAATATAAGCTGAAATAAATCATTGTATCTAGTATTATTCTGACATCTCACATTCTTAAAATATAGTAGTGATCCTAACTGACCTAAGAGAGGGAATGTGGCTGTATGTAAACTTATGACTTCAACTGTATATATAACTCATATATATATATATGAGATATATACATATATATGTATTATATTATATTATACACTTGAAGTACACACACACACACACACACACACACATACACTCACTCAAGGTCCACCAGCAGAAATTGACAGCTGAGCTATGGCAGTGCTACAAAGCGCTCACCAAGGTGCTGAAAAGCTGGGCCAAAACAAACATCAGCACCTTTGTTGTGGACCACGGCACGTGCAGAGGAAGGGCGGGGGCTGACTGATCATACACAGCTGGCGGCCAATGTTGAGAGCAGCTGCAACGCCAAGGGAGAGAGACAAAAAGGGCCAACTGGGCAGCAGTTGTGGAGAAGCTCTCCCAAAGAAAAGACACCTCCTAACCGCTCCTTTTCTCTCTCTTAAATCGGGGTCCACGACAGACTCAGACCCAAAAGTAGATCCCAGCCAGTTCTCACCCTGTGCATGCTGAGCTCTTCCCCATATGTCCGTCTACGCACCAAAAAGCCTGAACTCAGAACCGCTTCAAAAGAGGTGTAGTTCTGTTTTGCAGGTTTCAGCCTGTTTTTGCTAAACTATCTATTTTGCGTTTGTAATAAACGTTTCTAAGCTCTATTGACCCTGTCTCTGGAGTGTGTCAAGCCCAGCTGCTCGTTTGCAACATACATATGTATATGTATGTATGCACACACACAGAGGAATGACATCCAAGATCCCTTGTAGCTCTAATAATTCAGCTTTAATTTGGAGCGCTACAGTGTGCCTCACTCACCATTCAAGCTGTGTGTAATGCATCATCTCGTTGACAGTGTTTGGCTCACAGACGGTATAGAGGCCCCAAAGCCCTGTGTCAGTGTAGCAGGTGTTAAAGGACTGGAAGCTGTGGCACAGGTTACCCTGGCATGCCATCTGGGCCAGCTTACTGGACAGATTCTGAGGGCCACAAACAGCACAAGACCATGTTGACACAACATCATGACCATCAGCATTCTAAAATCAGAACAAAACATGTAAGAGCGACCTACCACACCGCCGCCAAAGGAGCGATCCCAGTTTCCAATCAGCGTGTTGGCCACCATGAGTGGGATGGTGTCAGGGTGAGACCAGCCTACTGCCTGCACGGCAATCGCTATGTGAGCCAGAGGCATTTTGTCATCCCTCACTCTGATCTGTTAAACATCAACCCAAGTGACAAATGGGGTGAGGGTTTTTTTGTTGTTGTTTTTGTGAATCGATGTACAAGGTTCATCACATGACTAATGACTAAACAACTACACTGATGTTATGTTTATTGTTCCACAGAAGCATTTTGTTTACCTCACTTCCAGTGAATTTGCAGGCAGGTAATGCAGGTGCTTCACCCTTGTATCTTGCTGGCAGCTTTCCAAAGTGGTACTTAGCCAAATCAATTAATTCATTGTGGGACACTCCTGAAACAAAAATCAGCATTTAGTTTCAAAAAATCTGAAAAAATCCACAGATGTATCTGTCCATCCTTCTGCTGTGAGAAGACATCTCAGCACTATGAGCCTGAAAGGATGTGTAGCTGTCAAGAAGCCGTTGCTGAGAGAAGATAATAGAGAAAAAAGAAGAAAATCTGCAAATCAAACAAAGAAGCTGCTGGTGTTCTCAGGATAACAGGACTGACAACCTCCAAATCCAGCGTGTTTGGGATTACTTGGTTCATGAGAAGCAGAAAATGCAACCAACTTCTTAGACTAAACTTTGGAGGTGTGGAAAAACATCTCTGCAGATTTCTTTAAAACATTGAAAGCAAATCACCCCAAAAGAACGCAGGCTATAATGAAGTCAAAACATTAACACGTTATATGATAATTATATTTAGTTGTTGAGGCTTCCATGTTTTCTGCTTTTTTCCCCCTCAGTGCTGAACAATGAATACTTTGTACTTAATGGCAGTTTTGAATGAAACTAAAATAAATGAAGGGTGATCTCTGACTTTTGCATAGTACTGTAAAGGAAATACTGCACACAGCTGTGTTATTGAGGGAAGTGGATGTAAGTTTACCTCCAGCTGCAGCAAGCACAATCCTTGGCCCCTTGTAGTGAGTTGTAATGTATTCCACAAGGTCTGCTCTGTTTATAGTTCTGTAAACAAACATGAGTTTAATACACACATATGAATATCAACATGAACATGAATGTCACTGAAAATTAGTTACACAGCCAGGCAACATCAACATGAGCCCAAAGTCCTTATTGTAAGAACTGCTGGTGAATGAGGCCCATTGTCCATTTTATCAGCTCCACTTACCATACTGGTGCATTTTGTAGTTCTACAGTTACAGACCGTTGTCCATCTGTTTCTCTGCATACTCTGTTAGCCCCCTTTCACCCTGTTCTTCAGTGGTCAGGACCCCCACAGGACCACCACAGAGCAGGTATTATTTGGGATAACTATGTGGATCATTCTCAGCACTGCAGTGACACTGACGTCATGGTGGTGGTGTGTTAGTGTGTGTTGTGACGGTACGAGTGGATCAGACATGGGTTTTTAAACACCTCAGTGTCACTGCTGGACTGAGAATAGTCCATCAACCAAAAATATCCAGCCAACAGCGTCCTGATGAAGGACTAGAGGATGACCAACACAAACCGTGCAGCTACAGATGAGCTACTATCTCTGACTTTACATCTACAAGGTGGACCGACAAGGTAGGAGTGTCTAACAGAGTGGACACTGAAGAACAGGGTAAAAGGGGGCTAACAAAGTATGCAGAGAAACAGATGGACTACAGTCTGTAATTGTAAAACTACAAAGTGCACCGATGTGGTAAGTGGAGTTGATAAAATGGACAATAAGGGTAGAAACAAGGAGGTGGTTTTAATGTTATGCCTGATGAGTGTACGTACTTGATGTTCTCTGCAGGTCCGAGGATGGTTCTTCCTAGAGCAGTGTCCTGGTACGCTGTAGCATGCAGGTAGTCAAAAACAACTTCCTGTAGATTAGTCTCCACTTCCTGCATCTCTCGCAGGATGACTCCACGCTCACGTTCAATCTCGGCCTCCCCCAGCGTGCTGTTCTGGATTATGTCAGCAAGAATCTCCACAGCTGACAATAGCGGTAGATGATGAGAGGGTTATTGCACAAATCATACCTGTGCTACAGAGTTAAAAACAAAATTTATCTGTGGAGTTCCCATACCTCTGGGGAGGTCTTTAGAAAAGGCTTTGGCATAATATACTGTCTGCTCTCTAGAAGTGTAGGCATTCAAGTGGGCACCCATGTTCTCGATCTCAAGCTCCAGGTCTAGCTGAGAACGCTTCCTTGTACCCTGTAAAACACACACAGGAGCAGGCAGGCGCCATATGCTTCAATAGGTGAAGTTCCACTTCTCCAGACCACTCACTTTCACACAGATCTCAATCACTTGATTTGGTTAATTGGTTCCAATTAAGATTCAAAGGCAAACGCACTGGATGGCCAAAAGTATGTGGGCACTCTTAATTGAGTTTAGATGTTTCAGTCACATCCATTGCTAACAGGTGCATAAAATCAGGCACATAGCCCTGCAATCTCCATAGACAAACACTGGCAGTAGAATGGGTCGTACTGAAGAGCTCAGTGACTCAACATGGTCTTAGGATGCCACCTTTGCCACAAATCTGTGAAATTTCCGCCCTGCTCGATCTGCCCCAGTCAACTGTAAGTGCTACTATTGTGAAATGGAAGCTTCTTGGAGCAACAACAGTTATAACTTTATATTAATTATATATTTTTCCAACTTTGTGGCAGCAGTTTGAGGAAGGCCCTTTCCTGTTAAAACATGACTGTACTCATGACTGTACTGTGCACAAAGCGACGTCCATAAAGACATGGTCTGACAACTTTGGTGTGGAACTCCAGTGGCCTGGAGTTCCATTTATCAAAGCCTGTGCGTAACATGTTCTATATGTGTGCAGAATAACTGCTAGGGCACACTATAAAATTGGCATTTATAAAAATGTCCGTACGCAGAGCTGTACACAATGAATGATAATAAATCCTACATCGCTCTGCATGTGCACAGCCAGTCTCATTTACATTAAGAAAAGCTCCTAAATACACGTATTTGGTAAAGAACGTCCCTTTAAAAAAAACCAGTAGCCTATGAAACATATGAAATGCTAAATTGAAGTGTTGCATGTAAAAGTTTGCACCTTTACATTTAACTTTAAACTATTAAACAGTAAAACATTAAATATGAAAATGTAATAATTACATTTTCACTCAAACATGCAAAAATGATTTACAAATAATTCATTTCATCATTTCAATTCCTATATTTTTACTTTTGACAATTCAATTAGAGCTGATGATTTTGAACATGAACATCATTCCTACAAGTAAAATTGAATTTTGAAGGTTACAATTCATTTTTTTTTATTTCAAATTTATTTCTAAGAACATTAGTGGTATTAGTCAAGCACTGTCCACATTACAATCAATATGTATTGATCCTTTTATATAACTCTACTTCACCTTCACTATAAACCCAAATTAGCTGTCATCTGTCTGCAACTCTACCCTGTCAAACAAAAGTGTTTTTGAGATTTAGACTGATGAGAAATACTGCTTCTGTTAACATGAAGTATTAATTTGTTTGCTTTCAATCAACATATTTATCTGACTGCTTGTTCACAAAATAGTAACAAGCAGTCAGTTATGCTGAAATGACTGATTATATGGGAGTTTGTTTGTCTTATAATGGGTTTAACCACAATATTACTTCTCCACCACTAGGGGTTTCTGCATATGTGCAGTCAAGAGTAGTTCTAACTCTGCTAACATTCTCAAGCCTAAAAAAAATAATGACATACACGTAAAAGCATGTGTATGAGAAATTTATGCATGAAACTGTCTGCTCTATTTATCACAACTGACAAAAGAGACCCCAGGCATTTGTAATTACATTTTTTACCATGTTTACATAATGTTTGCACATGTCTATAGATAGACATGCATTTTTCATCCAATTTTACTTATCAAAAATTATTTTTTGTGTACTCATAAAGACGTTTGACCCCTGATGTCTTAATGATATAGCTTGTTATATAGTTTTGTGCCTGTGTAACACTTTGTGATCTCTTTAGTTTGTGCAGCTCTTTTTGTAGCTGGTTGTTCTATTTGTGTTTTTTATCAGATAAATATATCAGTCACACTTCAGAGGTGTGAAGATTGAGAGCCTGTACACTAAGCTTCTCATCAAAGTGGTGTTCTAAACATAGGAAACTAGTAGACATGGCAAATGCTAGCATGATGTTTGAGTGATTAATGTACAAAGTCAAACATTCACAGACTAATTTCTTGTTGCTAAAAGATGAGTACATTCATGTGCTCAATAGTATGAAGACATTAAATATAGTGCAACACATTAATTCTTCTGTCACACATCACACACCAGTGAAGACCACCAGACCACCAGACACCTCAAGCTCTATGTATGTTCGTGAGCTTTATTTAACAAATGTTGGCCACCTTGTATAACTTGCAGGGGTGTTTCTGTATAGAAGCTACTGATGACCCTCACTCTAGCCATTCTTGACAGCTGTTCACTTTCTGCTGGGGGCCACAATCGCTCCATCTGCCAACAATATTCTTTAATCATTTTCACAAATAAAAAAGATTATCATAACTAAAATTTATCACCAAGATCTAGGCCATAAAAATAATTAATATTCTTATTATTAATAATAACAATAATATAATTCAGCTCCCATGTTCTCACTCCCACCAAAATGCCTTCATTTAATTTTATGCTGCTCTGTTGCTGGCAGCATCTGGACTTCTGTGCTTTTGTTGACAACAAAATGATCTATTAATATTAATCAATAAAAATCCCCTAACAAACTTAGGTTCCTTTGCTGACGGACAGAGAAGTCCCACTGCAGTTCTGAAGGGAATTTAGTTTGTGAACAGTTAACTGGAGTTGTCCCACTTAGGTTAGGTTTTGGTAGCTACCGTTCGCACTATAGCCACTGTGTTTCATGGATGACCTCTGGTTCTGTTACCTTAAAAGCCATGTGCTCCAGGAAGTGGGCTGTTCCGTTGTTCCTTTCATTTCTCATACCGGCTCCCAGCATCGATCCACAGACCGACCTGCAGACAGACAGCACAGGCTTCACAAACTGAACGAGGCTGAAGTTTGCTTCCTATCCGCCAGCTTATTGTTCAAATTTTCCCATTCCACCTTAAACAGTGCAGCAGGCGCCTCATGCTACCGTTGTAACTGCTGCACCATTTAAGGTGGAACTGGAACATTAGAACAAGAAGCTGGAATAGGAATTCCAATTTCAGCCGCGTACAAACTGACTTCTGTTTGGAGACGACAAAGCAAATAACCAGCAGCAGGAGCCCGTTAACGTTACCGTGCAGGTGGTCAGTCCGGAGTCTTCAGAAGCCACTCGAAGCCCGTTAGCTAGTGTGGTCACCTTCGTCTCTGGGACGTTCAAGGCCACTTCACTCGCCGCTAAAGCGGCTCTGTGGCGAACAAACTGCGGGAAGAGGAGTCCCGCAAAGAAAGTTAGGTTAGTTAGGTAACCTAACTACATGTCTTAGGCTGGTGGGCTAATGAGTTAGCCACTCTGGTGCTAAAGGAGACGGCCACAGTAGGCGGCTGTCCTGAGCGCAGTATGGTAACGGTGCGTTTACACAGCTCCTCTCTGTATCAGTTTTAGTGCTGTTTACCTTTGTGGCAGCGCCTGTTTTCAGAAATCTCCTTACAAAGTGCCCTCCGGCTGCTCCCACTCGGTGTATACACGCCGCCATGCTGTTTACAGATGTTTGTACGTCACTAGCACCGTCGATTCTGATTGGATGAGTGGAAAAGGCGTCAGGAGCGCAGCTGCGCGTCCGCAGGCCGAGTGAGCTCCAGTGTGATGTAACCACGAGGACAGACTTTATTCAGGGATGTGGTTTGACACTGTCTTGGTGAAATAAACAAGGCCTTCCCTAACAAAGACAGACGGTGGTATATGTTGTATATGTTGCTAAAACATGTATATATCATTCAGCATTAATGGTGCCTTCACAGATGTGCAAGTCACCCATGCCATGTTCACTAATGCGCCCCTATACCATCACAGGTTCTGACTTTTGAATTGTATGCTGATGACAAGTTGGATGGTCCCACCTTTTTGTATATTGTTTGTTTCTTGCATGGTAGAGTTTTAACTTGCATGTGTGGATGCAGCGATGAACTGTTTTCAGACAGACTGTACTCTAGACAATGAAATCCTCAAGTTCTTTGCTATTTTATTTTGAAAAAACATAAAATTATTGCACTATTTGCCTGTACAGTCTTTCACAGTCTTTTCACCCCTCATCATCTTTTTCAGCCTCTCTGTGATGCTCTTTCTATACCTAATCATGTTACTATCTTGTTGCCAATTAACCACCAGGTGTTTTTTAGCATTATACAATTTTACCAGCCTTTGTTGCCCCTCGTCCCAACTTTTTTCAAATGTGTTGTTGGCATTAAATTCAAAATGGGCATATATTTTTCAAAAACAATAAAAGTTCTCTGTTGCAACATTCGATATGTTATCGGTGTAATATTTTTATTAATTATAGTGTTTTAATTATTTGCACTTCATTTTTATTTACATTTTGCACAGCATCCCAACTTTTTTGAAAACAAGATTGGATTTTCTTGTTTTTAAAATGTATTTTTTTTGTGTTATTTTAGATTATTTTGCTGCTAATTTACACATTTAGTGTAGTAGTGATGTGTTGTAATTGTTATAATTGCACAGATTAAAAAAAGAATACATTCATAAAAGAAAGAGAAATAAAAGAGAAACTTCAACATAGAAATCATACCACAAGTACGAGCTTAAAGTGACTAAACTCCTTTGATCAGACAGTAACTTCACCATCCCCAGGTCATCTGTGTACTTGTGAGTGGTGATGTAGATTTTTAAGCGTTTCTGTAAGGAATGTGCCAAACACATTTTTTATAGCCAAATCGCTCATGCCTCATTTCTAGCTGGTTTTATTAGTTATGGGCTAAAGTAACACATGAAATACACCATCACTATTTCTCTGCTACTGTTAGCCGAAGTTAACAATACATCTCTACATAACTGTATAAAGAGCATTATTTGCTTTTTTTAATGAGCCGAATTGGCATTTTAATGAAACAATAATCAATTATCTGCTTATATGATATAAATCAGATGAAGTTCTACATCTAAAAAGGTAACTATAAACCTTTTTTAGTACAAGTGCAGCAACAGCAGCATTCAAATACAGCGAGTGTGCACTTACCTGCCTCATGGTATTAATGTAATTGGCTGTTTCTGGTTGTACATCTTTACCTTCAATACCACCAGAAAGCCGCACTTAATGTGAAATCTGGAACACATTCTGTCACTTGACTTTATTAAAATCAATTTATTGAAATACTGAAACATCAATTTATCTTTGATTCTGAAAATGGACTTTCAGCACAAAAAGTGTCTCCTGACAGAGTCAGCTAAAACAATAAGGGCCAGTTTCCCAGACCCAGATCAAGGCTATTTCTAGACAAAAAAAAAACAGTGGTGATTCTCCATTGGCACAATTCAATTTAGACCAAGACTAGGATTAATCCATGTCTGGGAAGTCAGGAAACATCGACTCAAGCTCCAATGTGAAATTTCTTGATTCCATAAGGATTTGCCCTTCACATAATCACAGTTCAAAGGTCTAACTGTGAATGACAAAGAGTTACAAAATTGCTTGTAAACAATGCAGTCAAATTCTCAACTGTTTGACTAGCAACCAAGTTTAATATTTGATATTTGCCATTAATGAGATGCAAACTAAATCTCACACAACTGTCGCTTTTGAAGTGTACACTTCTTTTCATCCTAGCACGGCTCTACATTATGCAAAATACAAAAACTGCTTCTCTTAACCCAGGATGAAAAGATGAACACTGTACACAAGTAAATCTGCATGGGGGGGTAAAAAAAAACAAACAGCCACACAAAAACATTCAACATTAACGGACACACTATGGTATATGAATAAAAAGGCTTACAGCTTTGAAAAAATAAACATCTCTTTCCTCATCACCAAAGGATGCATATTCAGGCTATTGTAAGTGAGTGAACATCAACACTTCAGACCGTACCATCTATTCTGCTGTGTGAATAGGCTCATTCACAAAGATCCATGTGGTGATTATTATGAAGAGGCAGGCTTTTAACTAGCACACATCCACTTCACTGTTAAAGGTGTTGTCTTATTAGTAAGCATTATTAGAGACTGGAACACAGGCAGCATCAGAACATCTGTCTTCCCACTATAGTCAGTTGTTCTCCTCTCAGCTGAAATGTCAATGAATACTTCCCTACAACAGGTGAATGTGGAGTATAAAAGTCCCTGCAGTGCATGTCAGTCCATGTTTGACCTGAAACAGTACGAGTCATGATTCAGGGCTCGCGGACTGGCTGGATGTACCACTTCGTGTGCGTAGCTGTGATTGGGCAATATCAGCCAGAGCACTTTGGATCTTCTCCAGTAGTAGATCTCCTCTGTACACCACTTCTTCCAGTCGTGCTGCTGCCTCATGGTTCTCCTCTTCCAACTGCCTTAGACTAGCAGCCTGATCAAAAGATGCAGGAGGAAACAATAAATAACAGGCAAGAGCAGGAATTACAGTGTGTTCGTCAATGCAGGCCTGTTCTATTTACAGCACTGCACACAAGAAATGGGGGAGTGCAGATATCAGGGTGTTTTCTAGCATCCGTTTAAAAAGATTGCTCCCTGAATTTCAACTGAGTGGCACTGGTTGGCCAAGTTTGCTCAAGGAAGCAGCTACAGAATTAATATAACTAGAAAGTCTCTTAATGAAATATTTAGATTAGATAGTGTTTCCATACTTAAAGTACAGACAAATATTTTCATGGCTTGTAACAATGCATCATGACATATCGCAGATGCAAAACTGTCATAATGCATACTGAGGAAAGCAACTTTTCTTATTTTATATCATCTAATGCATTTGCGTTGCTTGAACAATGTTTGCAAACAATCAACACCAATCAACAACCTACTCCAGCACTTCTCCTGCCTCCCAGGTCTAGCGTTGTTAGTAAGTTGTGCAACAACATGATTATAGTCATCATTTACCTTAATTCAAAGTTTGTTCAAAATATCGTGAGAACACTGAATCATGCAGCCAATCAAATCTAATCGTGGGCTGAGTGTATCATTACACACATAATTTTTAATGAACTATTAAAGGTGCAGTGTGAAAGATTCGGGGGATCTATTAGCAGAAATGGAATACAGCATACAAAACCATGTTCTCATTAGTGTATAATCATCTATAACTATGCAGCGTTGTGTTTTCGTTAGCTCAGAAAGAACCCTTCATATCTACATAGGGAGCGGGATGAGAACCAAACACTGGCTCTAGAGAGTGCTTTTTGCATTTTTACATTGAAGCGGAAGCTTGCATCTGGTGGCGCTATATCATCAGTTGGAAGACGCAGAAAGATGAACAATTAGTGGTTGCTGTCTGTGCTGGTTCACCATTTTGTGTTTTGGCTGGAGGATCAAACTTATTATTTAGCACAAGAAAAAGAGGGGAGGGTGAATTCTCATTGTCAGAAGTAAAATAAACAGGCAACGGCAGAAAACCTGACAGCCGCTGAAGGTTCAACTACATGCTTGGAAAGGGAAGGGTGAGTGAGGGGTACACAGTCGGTTGCAATCTGCAACCTAACCGCTAGATGCCACTAAATCTTACACACTTCTCCTTTAAGAAATTGTAGCAAGTTTTAGCTCTTTATAGGCATTAATGCTAAATATCTACCACTTAATTGTAACCTGAGACTATGAGTTTGGCAGCAGACATACCTGTAAAGCAGCTGTTGATTCTTCACTAGGCAGAGAGTCAATCAACACATCGATATCTTTAGCTGTCCTTGCGATCAGGGCTGCAAAAAGCTGTGCATACTCTGTGGGAAAAAAAGATGAACTGATTAGACTAAAGCAGCATGTCTCAGCTCCAGTCCTGCAGTGCACCTACACTGCACTGTTTCATGTTTTCCTGCATTAACACCCCTGACATAGTGTCAAAAGGACTTTATTAGCTAATGATGTCACTCAGGTGCAGGTGGATTATGGGACAGTGAAACACTGTTCTACATGATAATATCTGTTCCTCATCACATTAATCTGATATGACCCATGACATGCTATGCTTTAACTAATACACAGCTGTGATCTGAGGATCTGCGCACCTTCTGTGGGGTTTGATGGCTGGTCCTTGTTGATGGCCGTCTGGATGTTGCTGAAGGAAGCAGGCGGCGCGTACTGCTGCAGTACTCCAATGGCATTACAGAACTGATCAGCCAACTACATTACACAAAAGACACAACACAGAACTGAAGATAAAGACCTACTGCGCATATGTGCATAAACCAAAACATACGTAACTTACAAGCCAAAGCGGTCATGTCCACATTTTCAATCATATTGCAGAATTCAATAATTACACAAACTAAGTTGGTCATGTATTGATCAGAGGATCACGCAGGCTACTTCTGTGATATGAAAGTAATCTTAGCGTTTAATGTGTAATGTTAATATGCGTATTGATAGCGCAGCATCAATCCGACCACGTCCTTTTTTTGAGAATCGATCCTCACATTAAAATGTTGACACTGTTACTGTTGATAGTTACGCCAACGACTCTGATTTACTACAGGTTAGCTAACCTAGTTGTCTTGTCTAACATTAGTGTTAATTAAAAAATAATAATAATGAATGTTAACTTATGTCCAGTCTAACATTAACGTTCCCGTTTTCGTGTTAGCCACAGATGAACTAAGAGCAACACCACAGTCTGCTAGTCTGCTAACCTAAAGCTGCATATCGACAGAAAACGTTACTCCACAGCGCTGATACAGCGGCCGGGCAGAGTATCAGGACTAAAACGACTGATTTTACCACAGAGCGTGATACTTCTGGAGAATTAAATATTAAAAACATTAATTTTATCTTACGGAATTGACTGCGTCCTGAAGCTGTGTTAGCCTGTCCGCCATCTTCTCTGACTGTCGCCCCCTGCCGGCTGGAGGACTAACGGTCTCTGTGGCCTCACGTGACCGGGCAGCGCGCGCTGCAGGAGGGCAGAGGAGGAGTGTGTGTGTGTGGAAGAGGAGTGTGAGTGTGTGGAAGAGGAGTGTGAGAGACAGTCCTGAGTGACAGTGTGAGTGAGGGGTCGGGGAATAGAGCATGCTCCGGGACTGCAGCGGCCTCGGTGGGACTCCGTTGGCTGTGTCTGGTGCGTTTGGTGGGCCGCCGTGTTAGCAGAGCTGCGGCCCGGACCGAAGACTGAGGGGGAAGATGAAGACCAGGAGAGGAGGAGCGGGAGCGGGAGCAGCAGCGGGAGGAGAAGGAGGCTTACTGTGCTTACTGTGTGTCGTCCTTTCGTGCCTTCATGTTCTGCACGCGCAGGAGAGTGAGTGTCCCCTTCCGAGGCTGAACTGTCTTCCTGTCCTCCAGCTTCTTGCTCTAGTTGTCCCGTTCCACCTTAAACGGTGCAGCAGTTACTATTATAACACCTCAGGCGCCAGAATGTGGCTGCTGCACCATGTAAGGTGGAACGGGAAAATCGAACAAGATGCTGGTGAGTAGGAAGCCAGCTTCAGCCCCGGGCTGCTTACTGACTTTCTGAACGTTTTTGACACCCTGAAAATCTGCGTAACCGCCTGCAGCTGCGGTTGTTTTCCTTCAGCCGCCTCGGCGCAGTTTCCGTTTCACACACTGTGAAATCTGTGGAGGAGTTTTTACAGCTAGCGTTAGCTACGTTTCGGCCACTGCTCACTGACCCGGACCGCTGATAAACAGGCCCAGAGTTAATAAGTGCGTGTGTAACTGAGACGTCGAGCGCCTCGTGTAGTTTAATGTGTGTTTTAAAGCACACAGACCGTCGCGGAGCTGCTGGAGTTATTGAGCTAAATCGCTAGCTGTGGTTAGCTGTGGCGGGCTGTGTGTCTGCGGAGCGTTAAAAACCGACCTGTGGACTAATCTCCTTTATCTGCAGCGGTGCAGCCCAGATAGTCCAGACTGAAAAACGACCCGGCTATCAAAGCATTATGGTCTTTATCCATAGTCAGGGGTTTTCCGACTGGAGAGAGACTATCTGAGCAGGTCACATAGACTCGAGGTGTTACTTGTTGTTTTTGGTGTCTCAGCTTACAAACCCATTTCTTTTTAACGTGAGTTATGCAGTTCATTTTCATGTTAATAACAGACCGTTGCACCATAGACAGCCATCATTTATGAATTTGTGAAAGTTTAAGCTTAGAAATTTTACCGGTACTATTCAATAAATCAAACAAAAAGTCATCTATGGGTCAAATCATGAGACAGTTTTCAAACTGAGTAACTTCATTATAGTCGCTTTTATCAGTTTACCTTTCAAATTTTCTGCATAATTCAGTTGTTAAGCTGTAAACAGAGTCATTCAGTGTGGTTTGTTCTGAAGTAACTTGGTGAATTGCTGAGAAACTTAACCCTGTCAGCTCTGATTTCTGTACAGTGGTAATAATAGGAACCAGATGTGTACAGTGTAAATATGGCCATTTTATTTACTGTCCAAAAAGGTTAGTGAACCTACACATGTCTTCTGAGTTTGTATGTGTGATGCTGATCATGATAAAATAGAGGGTGCTAGTTTGGCTTTACTCCCTGTATGTAAAACCACTCCCATGAATGGCTTTTTGAAAAATATGTTTTTGGCCAAAACCTTTTCTCAAACCTGGGGGAAAGCGATATCTCAGACAGCAGAGTTTCTGTGAGGGAGTTTTTAGAGGCATTAAAGGCTTCAGACATCTCACTCCATCCGATTCCACTGTGAAGAGTGTGAAGAGTTCTGACTCAGTGAGTTTCTCCAGAACGGAGCATTTCACACCAAACCACTCTGAGTGACTTTTTACATCTTCATTTAAATTATGCAATTTTGAATATCAGCAGAATTTGAGGTGCACTTTGAGGTTTAAGGTTTTTCTGTTTTGTTCTCAACGCTCAAAAGGTCTAACAAGATTTCATCTGGTAAAAAAACGCTGTCGTAGTCCACTTTTCCTAGTCCATGTGCTACCAAAGCCTTCAGTTAGATGAGCGCTCTAAAGGCACAGGTTGCGAAAGAGACGAAGTACAGAGGTGAATGAGGTTTCGTAAGGTCTCTATTCGAACTCTCAAGAAGCGGCCGCCTCTATCTGCAGGTAGACCTCTGTACTTCTGTCTCTGACAGGAAAAAATATTTCAGGGGAAATACCCAGAGACCAGAACTCCAATCACAGTTCATACCAAGAAAGTACAGCACTGCTGAGCTCTCGCTGTCCGCCTACAGGGTGAAATCTCTCTCCATCTCTATTAGCTCAGTGTCCAGGAGCAAGTTATTTTAATCTGACTGTTAATTGTGCGCACTAATACGCCACTGCGCCTGAATGTTCTTTCCATTCTTAAAACCAGTAACTGACAATAATTCACAGAAATAATCTGTTATGAATGATGGATTTAGTTACATTCTTGGAAAAACATGGATCATGAAGTCAGCATGTTGTTGTTGAACCGGAGGATCCGGTTAACATGTCTGTGTTTGTGAATTTTTATGCTAAAAGGGAAAGAATGGCAGTCAGCACATGAATGAAACACCCGTGAAGTTGCACTGTGATGCATGTCCATATCCAAAGAGGAAGTGTAGTATTATTTGTTGGTTCATTTGCGGAAGGCGGGGTGAAGACATCTCTAACTGCTAATTTTAAATCCAGTCTTCTCTCTCTTGTACTTCCCTCTGAAGTTATTCTTATCTGACTGAGAAGATGAGCTTTAAATGGAAGCACAAGCAGAACGGTTCATGGGCAGGAGAACACCATGCGAGATGGTTATTAATAATGCAACATTATAAAAGAGAGTTTTTTTTTTCTTCTGTTCCACTTTGTGGCTTTTCACTAGACATTATGACGAGAACAGAGAGGAGTCATGACTTCTGCATTCTTTCTGTGAAACGTTTTGCTTTATTTAGGAGGGGCTTAGTGCTCAGGCTGTGTTTTATGAGAGACCAGTGCTGTGTAGTCAATGGGCAGCTGTCAGTGAGAGAGTGGAGTAAAATTCAAGCCTAATCTCATTTACCATGTAATATAGGTCAGGAATCTGCTGATTCTTAGTGTAGGAGTGAAGTGTCTGTTAACCCATTCAGAAAAATGCCCTCTTTTTCTATAGACAGCCTCCTTCACTCCGTTACTCAAAGAATTGCCAATTAGTTTTATTACTGTAAAGATTACTGCTGATTACTGATACTGACTCGATGTTTTGCCAGAAAAGTCACACCTGAAAGTGAGAACTTGTTTCTCTATGACAGTTTGCTGTGTCAACTACCAAGTTCAAGAAATAGCATTTGATTTTCCTCCCCAACACTGAAGAAAATCACATCATGGCAATGAAAAAAATCTTAAATCAGGTCAATATATCTAGTATTTCCCATTCTTATGAGAATACTGTAAGACTGTGATCGTATTTCTAGATGTTTTTTACTTGTTTTAAGTAATTGTATCTAGAGAAATTGTCTTATTCTACTGTAGAAACTGCTTGTTACAAGTCTGTATAGGTAGAACTGTTTGTTTAGCAATTTTATTTCATCTCTCGCTGGGTTTATTTAATTACAATAAGAAGGTAATGTATGTTTGGATTTATTTTTAATAAAAGAAGAAACTACATAATACATGAGAATCAGGCCTCTCTGTTTATCATGTTAATGGATATCTTGTTAATGGATGTGTCACGATTACTAAGGACGTGATATATTCATGTTTGGGATCTGCATGGGTGTTAAGTATTCGCGGTACAGGTGTCCAAATACTAAAATCCATAATTAGGATGTGCAAAAAATTATTAATGAAATATTAGTGGAAAAAAATTGTTGAACCTTCTGTACAAAAATTTCTTTGAATGAATAAAAAAGACAATGTGATTTACTTGTTTACTTTCTGCTGTCTTTTGGGGTGCCCGTTCGCCAGGAGCCCCAGTTTAATGGCCCCCCTAGTGGTTATACCACGGCTGAAATCACTCTTTGTGTATTCATTACGTTTCGTTATGGAAAGACAGAGCCTAACAATTGAACATAACACACATTTTTTTTTTATTATCAGGCCTGTCAAATGTGACAGTTTTGCTCTTATTTGCCAGTGACGGTGAAGGCAGGGAGAGCGTTTGGCTCTGGCACAGCTTATTCCCCACCTTAGCGGACTATTATAGCTGATGTTACCGAGGTCCAGAAACAGTGAAAATATACTTCTCTGACAAACTAACATGTTGGTACAGCATCAGCTGAGAAGAAAATACCTTATGTAGATGCTGACAAGTCCCCATCAGAAACATTGTAGTGGTTAGCTGTAGTTTTGTAGCATTAGCTTGTCAGAGTAGGCTATTTTTAAATAATCAGTGTTTTCAAATGTTCTGCATGCTGCATTTTTGTGCTATGAATTTTAGCTATTTCAGCAGTGCTGGCACCTAAAAAATAAGCCTACAGCTCTACATTAATTTCAGCCAATTTTTGTGTTTTTGCCTTTTTTTTCCTGTGGTAAACTGAACATCTGTTCATTCACTCATGTGGATACCTGAATATAATAATGATTTATACTAGACATCATAAAATGTGCTGTATGGAAATTAGTTAAAGAAAGTGCTACCATCTAAGCATTTATGAGTATATTAATTTATTTGTTTGTTTATGTTCCAGACCAGGTGGTCTTCTCTTTGGGAACGTTCCAGAACGTGAGTGTACCTGTGAATGGGAGCGTCCAGGCGGTCGTGTCCAGAATCCCTGCTGAAGTGGCTTTCATCACACTGCAGTTTCACACTCAACATCGCAACGCTACTCTCTCATTCAGAAGTGTAAGAAGACTCATGCACAGGAGTGCCCTTGAGCATTTATGTACACAGAGCGCACATGCACACTGATGTTGTTCTGGGTCATCCTGAATATGCAGGTCCATCAGAATGTTAAGATGAGACCATAGTTCCATGGCTGATTAGCTCTTTACTGTAATAAAAATAATCATTGATACTAACTTGCTGTTTTGCCAGAAAGGTCACATCTGAACACCACATGCTCCCCCAACACTTCAAAAATTATACTTTGACAAGTTAAAACATCGTACCTGTAGTCAATATATTTAATATTCCTCATTATGAGATTGTTTCAAGAATATTATAAGATTATGATCTTATTTCAAGATTTTTTTTTACTTGTTTTAAGTAATTTTATCTAGAGAAATCGTATTGTTCTATGGTGATAACGCTTATTTCAAGAATGGTTAAAGCAGTATAATTTTCCAGTAGAATAAGACAATTTTATAAGATAAAACTACTTAAAACAAGTAAAGGAATGCCTATAAAGAAGTTAAATATTCTTTAATATTCCCACAGCAACCTCAAACCGAGAAATATTAGATATGTTGACCAGATGTAAGTTGATTTCACTAGAAATCATTTTCTGCAGTGAACAAACCACATTTTGACCACATGTATTAGCAAAGACACTTCATCACTCATTTACATGCCTAAACACGATTGCATACACAAATACACTTGTCGTCGCACGTTAGACTGTGTTGTAATCCAAGTGTCACAAACACGTACACGCACAGATAAGAAATTTCCATCACCAGGCACATACAAAAAGCATGGACTTTACACACACACACTCAGCTGAGTCACTCACAGTAGAGTGGACTGAAGCAGCCTGCAAGGTTTTGCACTAGTCCTGGTGTATCATGTGATGGCTTAATCACAAGGCCTGACTTCACCAGCAGTCCACAACACACTTGTTTTCTCTGACACACACAGAGTTCTTTGAAATTTGAAAGATTACCAGTCTACAGTCTACAGCTTATGAATTCAGCACGTTCATGTAGGCTCATGTTGAAGACCAGCGATCAGATAATATGTTTAAACCCGTATAGCAGTATTGCAGAGGCAAATGAATGTAATGGACCTACTTCTTGTGCAAACCCAGTTATCACATCTCTGATCTCATCTCTCAGTTCAGCATTTCAGTTTGGCAATCAAATATACACCATTTTTGCTTTAACTCAAATGCAGCTGATAAGCCAAGACCTGTTTTTGCATCTAAGCTGGGAGCTGTGAGGCTAATCTAACCAGCTTATAATGGTATCTTATATCTCAACAATTCATGCTGATCTTTACACATTTACCTCAAACTCTGTCAAGTTATGTGATATTAAATAGATATGCTTATGTTTCTGACATGGCATGACGTACTGTCATATGTCATGCCCCACTGCATTGTACATTTTTGTACTGCACATGTTATTTTTATTGTTGTTTTGGTATATTTTATTATTTATTCATTTTTACGTCTTCTATTTATGCATCTGTAAATAGCATACGGCAACCTTTGCTCCTGTTTTGTTCTTGTTTTGCTCTTTACTGTACTTTGTACTGCTGCAATAGATGATTTTCTCTCTGGGAAAGTGATATCTATATGCTTTAAAAATGAACAAACATATGTCACATAGTTAAAAACAATAGCAGCAGCCGTCTTATTTTTGTCTCTATCTAGATATGTATTATGGATGCAGTCTTCATTGTGCTTTATTAGATGTAAGATCTTAAACAAGTGTGACACTTGTTTTGAGCAACCTCTGGATATAAAACTCTGGTTTGTTTGTACTGCAGGTCCCGGTCTATGGTTCTTCACTCACCGCGGTTGATTCTGGATTGCTGTTTCCCCTCTTGTCATCCCAGTCCTCTCTTTCCTGCTACCTACTGGCCCCTGATGGTGATCCTGTTGCAGGCACTGGTGTTCTACTGCCCTACACAAGCACTGGTAGATGAGCACATCCTTTATTATTCCTCATTATTTCTGTATTCCAGTGTGACACTGTGTTGCCTTTTACCAGTTCGTGAAGTTAGTTAAGTGTTAGTTAAAAGGCTTCATGAGCAAAAGTGCTAATTGGAAAGCAGTTTTGGCATCTCATGGTTAGATGTGCAGGTTTTAGAGGCTCCTGAGTGGCACAGTTGGATGAGAGGGGTGCACCCTGTAGCCGAGACCTTAGTTCACTTCAGCTGTGGCACAGAGAATTTGATTTATTCCTGTCTTCATAAGATTTTAGACACAGATGAGGTGAATATGCTGGTCATTTGTGGCCATATTTACATTTAAAAATATGAATGGGCCCATATCATACATTTTTCTTGTATTTTACTTTTCCCTTGAGGTCCAGTTAGAACATTTGTGTGGTTTATGTATCAAAAATAGTCATCATTCATTTTTACATGAGCATTTTATAACCTCTCTTTAACCTTTAGAGTTAAAAAGGCTGTATTTGTTACTGTGCTTTTAGGACTAATAGGAGATAAATGAGCTCCGTTCTGTATTCTGCCTCATTTGAAAACCACTGTGAATGGGCACACTGAATTGCTGTAGGCTGAATACGCAGATATATGTAAATGAGCTGGATCTCATGCGGTCATAGAAACTGAGTTCAAAACAGACTGTTTTTGTAGTTTAGTTTCCATATATGGACTGTATAGACTGAAGAGTGAATGATATGTTTTTAAACTTTAACAGTGTTTCTGTATTACTTTGAACTGCATTATTTAAAACAGGAAGAGAAATTAGTTTTGATTAGTCATGATATGGGCCTGTTAAAGTTTTGTCACAATCTGCCAGATCACAGAGGCTGAAAGGGTGACAGGGTACTATTCACATACAGCCATTTATGAGAAATCTAAACCGCCATGCTTTGTGTCACCACATAATGTCTGTTTTAGAAGTGTTTATTTGGGCTACTGTGGTTTTGCAGATTGCAAAGATTGTCCAGTAGCGAAGAGGTCGCCTGTCTTTGTAATAATATTGAAAGTGGATGTGTTGAGGCGGGGTGGCCATTTTTGTATGGTTTCAGTTTTCGAAAACAGACCCAATATGGAGAACCAAATAGTTGTTTGTTTAAATTAATTTAAATTACAGGCCTACAGAAAGTAATCCAGCATGTTTGGGTGTTGGATTGATCATTACATTGATTTTGTGCTATGTGCAGATCCTGTTCCTGGGGCCTGTAACCTGGAGTTTCCACTGGAGAATGATCCAAACATCTACTTGCGCTACAACCTTTTTGAGACAGTCATTCGCTTTGCTCCTGCTAACATTGGACATGCAAGGTATGATATACGAAGTAAACTCTGACATATACGTACACACAATTAAACAGTTTTAAGATTAGTTTCCGGTACTCCACACTTCTTTTAGAAGAAGAAACCTGTCTCATTTTAGACCATTTGGTCTGTTGTGTGATATGCTGTGGTGAGTGTTGCCTCTCTGCTAACCACTTGTTCCTCTGGACTCCCATCTTCTCTCTTTCCCTTCTGCTGTTCAACTCATTCTCACGCTTCTGCTCCTTTTCTTCATGCGTCCATTCAGAGATGTCTCTCCACCTGCCTGTGATGTGGACACAGGCTTCAGCACTCGCTGGCGGTTAGAGTACGATGTGTATCAATACTTCCTCCCTGAGAACGACCTGTCAGAGCAGAGCCTTATCAGCGGCATAGAGAGGGTCGCCAGTGTGTCAAGCATGGTGGAAAATGGGAGAAAGGTTAGTAGCATGAAGAAGTTCTTCGCTCAGATAAATATTTCAAAACTACAGTCAACACCAGTACCCCAATATTTACATACTTTTGGACATTATTAAATTCACAAGTTCCTATTTGAAAAATACTAGGCTGAATATTTTGGGCCATTCCTTGGAGTTTTGGAGTTTCAGTAGAATTGACAGTTTATTTGCCAAACTTTGTGTATGTTCCAGAAATATCACAGCAGCTGGGTGATAAGTTTCAGTATAATTTCAAATGTCCCAAATTGAATTTTTGAATTGTTTAGAATCAAAATGAGAATATAAATCACTTTTTTACCAGTGGGGTACATTGAAAATCTGGGATTTTTTCATTTTAACTTGAAAAGACAAAGTTATGATGAGGGAAAATTCAGGATTCTGCACTATTTTTGGGCCACTACTCAAATTGAAGCAAATTTGTGACACTGACCATGTACAAAACGTTTTTTTTTTTGCCACTTCCACTGAAGCTTGTGTTCAGACGACTCTCAGGAGAATTTGATCTGCTGATCACAGTCTTTTGCACAAACATAGAGTTTGTTCCTGCTTGAGTGCACATTGTCATTAAAGCAAAAAAGGAGCATATTAAATCCTAAGTGGTCTAGTGGTCTCAGACTTTTGGACCCCACTGTATGTTATACATATGAGGAATTTGCCTTTGTGACTGCACACATGTATGACGTGCAACATACTAAACATCAGACAAGCACACAGACTGTTAACACATAATTATAAGAAAATAAGATACTAACTAAGGGAAAATTAAGAGGTAGTGAAATAAAAGGAAAGAAAGGAGCCAAAAGGATGAATATGTGAAGACGTGCAGGGCTTGAGGAAACATATAATCATCTATTATTTACAGTATATTACTGAATGATATGAACATTCATACAGTTGTGCTAAGATGGATTACAGTACAGATGGAGTTGTGAACAGTATATTACAGTACATTAAGTGGTGATTATTCTAGCTTCCTCCTAGATTGAATAATAGACTTGAAGCATATTTGGTTTAAGAGCTAGGTGGTCCATTTTATGTTCTGGTCATGTGTTTCATATTCTTGTTATTGATTTTCACATCTCCTTTTGTTCTAGCTGATGACATTGTCCTCTAAAGACCACACAGAACTGTCCTTTAACTCCATCCCGGGACAGGGAGTTATCTACTCCATTGTTGTGAGAGACCCCGTCTCCAATACCTCAGCCTCCTACATCCCTGTTCACACCTATGCCTGCAGCTTTGCCTCCGTTCTAGATGGCTGCACCACTTTAGGTGATTAGTTCTCATTACACTCTCAGTTGTTTCATTACACTCTCAGTTTCTTCGCATCATCACTGTCCAAAGGACAACGTGCATCTCCAAAATAGCAACTTAATTAACTTAATGCCTATAGATTTGATTCCGGGTATTATCATTTCTCACAATAACAGTTATCACAGTAAAGATACGGTATTGTCATACTGCCCGATATTTATAAAATTGAATAAAGCTGCCAGAATTTCCATAGGAAGCTTGGGGGCTCGATTGAGGTGGATACAATTTTTTGAAAAAGAAAGCGAGCAGCTGATCTTCTCTTGAGCATTTATTTTTGTCTTTGTATTATTCAGTGGCTTGTCCAGGATATGACATCACTCAACACGTTTAAAAATTCACTTGTATTTATGTGTGGAAATCTAATTGTCTTGCTGTCATTTACATGAAATGAATCAGTAAATGAGCAAAGTATTTTTTGTTGTTGTTGATGTTCTATTATTGTTCCCTCCCAAACTGATAGTAAATGAGTTTTTTCCCCTCACAGGGCTGTTACTGCATTAACTCACAGGCCTAGTTGTCAGTCAGCCATTGTTTTAGTTCAGGAGAGTTTTATGGTATGTGCCCAAATTCTCTAAACCTCTGTTGTTTTTTTCCTCTCAGGGAGAATATCCACCAAAGTTTTTTTCACCATTACAGGACTTGCAGGGCTCTTTGTATGTTTCTTGGGGCATCGGTTTTTCAAATGTGGTAAGTGAACCTCTTAAATGATTACCTTGCCTTTTCATAAACTTTGCACTTCTTTCACGTTTGTCTTGGCTCTGCCAGAGACCACAGGAGGTCATCAGTCTAAGTTTAAAGTTTTTCCCACGTTTTCTAGTTATTTATGGTGTGGGAACATGATTATTCTTAACAGAATTGATCTTTTTAAGGAAAAATAATAGCTGAAAGGTACAAAGGTTATGGCTGGTAAAAATAACCACAGAGTTCTTAGTGTACTGAGAACAGCTAGAGCTTTTCAGCAACAGATCAGACATATTATAGATGTGTTATTAGATGATGCATCAACGTTTAAACAAAGCTGATTTGTTGGTTTTTATATTCAGAGGAACCTGTGATCATGCTGAGCACATGTTTAGAAGTCACTGTTCAGTGTTGTTTTCCATTTCTTTCTTTCTTTCTTTCTTTCTTTCTTTTCTTTGAATGTGACTGTGGTTAGTACAACTGACGTGAATGAACTGAGCGACTTGAGTGACCTAGAAAAAGCTCACGTGCTGTTCTCCTGTCCCCCTCTTCCCTCAGAGCTCTTCTGTATGGGCTTTGCCTTTGGAGCTTTTTTCTTCTTTGTGCTGATCACAAGAACCACCACGCTGGATTACAACAGTAAGCCCACTTCATGCAGTAAAAGTAGCATTGAACTGCATTACACATGCTGACAGTGGCTCATGTAGCCCTTGTGACTTCCTAAAGTGGACAGAATTGATTTCACATTGTATGCCTGAACCAGTACCCTGTTAGATTGAAAACAGCAAACAGTACAAAACAGAAAGTCAGAGTTTTGAAAGTTATGTTGGGGAAAAAGTGTCAGTAGGTGGGTTTCCATCATTATGTGTATTTTGGCGTATCAAATAAAAAAAGCATGTGCTCTTTGAGGTGGATGCAGTTTTTGTAAAAAAACAATAAATTGAAATAGAAGCATCTCCTGAATAATGTAAATGAGTGGCAGCCGTCAGTTTTAAATTATGTAAAAAAAAAACAAAGAGAAATGGAGATTAAAGGTTTGATTTTGACAGTGATCATTAACTTGTGATCTGCTCCATCAGTCAAATTTGATATGTCCTACCTCAAATGCACAAATAAGAACATTAAAACTTCGAAACTACAGAAACTTTGATTTTATGTGGTGATGTTGACTGTTGGCTGTGACTTCTCAAGCTAATGACACAGTGTGCTCTCTTAAGAGAGACAGGAAGATAGATGGTCAGAGGAAACGGAATAATGTTTTCAGCTTTTTTCTGGGGTAATGGCAGTGCGTAAATCAAGTAGCCACTCCTGCCCTTGTCATTTGTACTGTCACAGATGTCATGTGGTAAACTTGCATTACTCCACCTCCCCATGTAATCATGTCCCAGTACTTTACAGTGTAAAATATCCATAAAATTAAACAAAACAGCAACTAGAATCTGCCAAGTGTTAAAGATTTATTTGTAGACTCCCTTCATATTTCCATATTTCCACAGTTCTGAAATAAGCTCATTGTAAGGAAGTTCTTGCACACCCTTGAATCAGAATGTCTCTCACTCCGTGTGACCATTTCTTCTTACAGTTCAGTCACACTATTCCTTTGAAGCCCTTTGCAGATTTATTACTGTAAATTTGCTGTTTCCATAGCATTAATTTAAAGTAATTTAGTTGTACAAACTGGCTGGGCATGCTTCTAATCACATTACTGCATCACACGCATTCTGGAGTGACTGTCACGTAATGTTGTGTCTCAGAGGATGCTGTTTTCCCCCTCTGTACTGTGGTGTCTCATGCTTCTCTGGATTTCCTGCTAAGACAGTTAAGGCAGAGATGATGGTGCATAACAAGTATGGCCTGCTTCACGTGGCCTTTTGTGTGCTTGTAGTGCAGATGGAATGTGGAGCAGCCAGATACCTGTGTGGCGTATTCTGATCTGCTTTAGACAAAACGTTCATTTGATGATTCTGTAGACTGTAGGATGTAGACCTCCAAGAGGAAGCTGAAGGTTATTTTTTCACCCACAAAGATGGCAGTTGTGTGACACAGTTGTACTGAAGTGAGCATAATCTTCATAGATTTTTTTTTTTTTGTGTGTTTTATTCATAGCGACCAGCTTGTCAGATGAGTCATGTGTCAAATGAGTCATTCTCAGTTCATATGCATGAGGGCATCTGGGTGGTGGTTGTTGTTGTCGTTGTTGTTGGAGGATTTCATTATTTCCTCTCTGTCATGTGTCACTCATTCTCAGCCACATTACTGAGCGCAGCTTACAGTACAGCCCACAGTGTTAGCCATCACGAGGTACAGTACGGCTCGCCCTGTTGGCCAGTGTGAGTCTTTCACAGGGCTTTGTATGATGAAAGTTCAGCCAGCAGAACTACTGAACTTTTAGTAATATGTACTTCATCCACTCAGTACTCAAATAAACTTTGAATGTGTTTTTAGTGCACTTGTGATGACCTCTTCATAAATTAGATTCTTCATAAATTAGATTTCAGAAAGATGGTACTAGCCAGAAAAGGCATGGACACGTTCTCACAGCTTTGCTTTATTTTTTATTTTTTTGTTTTTTTACTATTTTCCACATTTTAAATAAAAATAGACAATAAAACTTTGAAATAACACTTATGGATTTATGCACTGACCAAAAAATCTAAACAATCTTATATTTTATTGTCTTCTAAGCAGCGCCCTTTGCCTTGATACAGTTCTGCACACTCTTGGCTAGGGATGCCTGATGATCACATGGCAGATATTTGTGGGGGAAAAAAAAAACAAAAAAACATTGGATAGATGTTTACACTTGACCGATATTTCAAACAGATATTTGATGATGTGTTTATTGTATTCGGAAAGAGCAAAATGTTTAAGCGACACTTTGACACTGTGCAAATACATCTGCATTTTATTCATTTTACTGCATTAGTAGCCGTACAGAAATAAATGTTGTATTTCTCTGTAATGCTAATACAGGTACGTGTTTCCAGTTTTTACATTTTATAAATATTTATGTAACAGCATCAGAAGATTAGTACATGGAAAAATGTTGGATATTGGTATCGGCCCATAATTCCTAGAGTGGTGCATCCCTTTCTCTTAAACACCTTTGCAACGATCCACTTGGAAATAAATTGAACACGGGCATCAGTCGCACATTGATATTTGTCTTAAGTATTGTTTAGGCATGCTTGGTTTTACATGGGGAGATGGGATAATGTAATAGTTATCAGAGTTATTGTGATTTTGTGTGGTGATTGTGATTTTTGACTGTAAACTGCTTGCAGTGATGCAGCATTCACAAAGACGTCTGGTAAGGTAAATGGTTAGGGAATGATAAATGTATCACCCTAACCAAGTTACAATAAATGTTATTAAATGTTTTCTTCTTGAGAGCAGCTACAAATGTGTCACATCAAAAATATGCAAGTGGAGTAGATGCTTGGATCCCATACAAATCTGTCTAAAATGCTATAGACATCCTGTGCTAACATTACACCACAGATATACAGTTGTATGCAAAAGTTAGAAAGAAATTACATAATTAGTTTTTTTTTTCTTGGTGAAAATACATTGACAGATCTTCTACAGGAAACACACTTTAAATATGGTGTTTTCTGCAAATTGCAGTGCACAATTTCTATTTATTTTTAGAGAACATAATGAAAAAAATAAAAATATGCTTTAGCTTTTGCACAGAACATACTTGTTTTATTTTTTCCAATATGTTAAATTCAGCAAACAGTATTTGTGCATTAAAATATGTGTGTTCTCTGTACAGCAGTGTTTGCCGGTCCGGTCCTCAGGGCCCACCAGACAGTCCACATTTTTCCTTCATCTCTGTTTTGTGAGTTAGGTTGGAGCACAAATGTAGATTGAGTTTGGAAAAACTGCTGTAGAGGATGTGTAACTTACTTTCACTTAGAACATCAACAAAACATAATTTGACCAGAGTGCTCAAACTTTTGCTTACAACTACATATCTGGGGAAAAAATGAGTGTTTTTTTGTTTTTTTTTTTCCCTTTGAATTGAAATGCCTTTAAGATTTTAAAAATCATGTATTCAGTCAGCTGCCTATAAATGTTTTACTGATACTCTATTTTCTGTATCCAGTGACCACCAACAAAAGAAGCTGTAACGCAGACTGCTGCCTGCTAAACATGACTGTTTTCTCTGCTATTCTTTGCAGTTCGACTGACCCTGACAGCAGTGATAGGTGTGGTTGGAGGTGTGATTCTGGTGATGACGTGGTGGCGGTTCGGTTCAGTGATGGCATGTGTTGTGGTGGTCGGACTTATTCTCGGCTTTCTCGTCTCCTCTATCGTCTTCTTCACACCTCTCGGTAAGAAGAGGCGATGTACTGTGAAATTTAGCACAACCTGTTTTAGGCCTTGTAACGGTGAGCATTAGAAACTGAATGTTTGAATTGTCAGGAGAAAATACTGTACAAAGTCGTATGAACAACTTCGGTTAACTGAGACTTTTAGTTGATTTTCTAAGTGAAAATAAATGAACACATCCTCCTCAGAGAACACACGACTGCACATTTTAATACACAATTACTGCTTATTTACTGAATTTAACATTTTGAGCAAAACAAATCATAAAATGTGGCCTGTGCAAAAGTTGTAGCACATTTTATATTCCATTTTTTGTTGTTAAACTCAAATAAATATAAATTGTGCAGTAAAATTAGCAGAAAATGTATGTGTGAACTAACTTGTGCTAAATTTTTTTTTTTTACGTAGAAAATCAACAAATCATGTACAAAATCGAGAGCCTTTTTCTGGTAGTGCTGAAAATGTTGGTTGGATCATTCCACCCGAAATAGGACAATTTGCATCCCTTGCATTAAGAACACTGTTTGACAGTCGAATTTGCACATATTTTTAAAACGAAAATCTTTTTTCAAATGATCATTGTATAATCTTTTACAATTTGAGGTCAAAAGCAAGAAAAATACTGTTTTTTTTGCATTAGCAGATCTTTTACTTTCATGATCACTGATTTTATTTTTTTTTTTTTATGTCCCTAGATTTGTTTTTGCAAGTTTCTGCTGAAAAATTAATTATAGAATAATAGTATTTATTTTTTTTATGTTTTTAAATGTAAAAATTTATGATTTATAAATATTGGTATTTGAAAATATAGTAAAATAACATTTCTTTGCGTCCCCACAAAGTCAGGATGACTCGCAGGATGTGACATTATTTGAATCTGATGAAGAAGATGGCAAATTTCTTTCATTACTTTTGTCCATTCTTCAGTGTTTTCCTATTATGGACAGGTTTGGTATTCAAATCATGTCCCTGTTACTTGTATTTAACATAGATAAAGTAAATAATAAAATATATTAAATATATGATCACTTAAGCATCATGTGGTCTGAAAATCTTTTAACATAGCTGCAAACCTTAACCCTGTTACCATCAGTCCTACTACAAACCTATAGAATCTGAAACAGAACTGACATGCTTTAGTGAAATAAAGTCATTTTACGCATTTACAAACATTTGCTCTCACCAGCAACATATATATTTGTCCCTATTAGTAAATTTATAATAAATACATACTATGCAGATTCAGTGCACGGTCAGACATGCACATCAACTGAACACATACTTTTTATGATAAATATATCACTTCATTTAGGTTATTGTACTTGGTGAACTACAAAAGCAGTTACACGTTCATGAGGTACAGACGAACTGATCAGCCGTTGCTTCTCTGCAGCAGTCTGTCATGCCATATTTTCAGCTGACAGTGGTTACATGTTATATCTTCTGTCACCTTTTCTCACAGGTCCTGTCACTTACCCATCAACGCTGTTAGTTAAAAGGCATATCGTAACATGACTTTTTTGATAATATTCCCAGTTAAAATCTTTATTTTAACAAAAAAATGAGGCATTTGGCATGCAAAACAGGCCCATCCTACTTTACTTTTGCATTAAATAGGTAAATTATTTGCTTTTAAATTTGCATTAGACTCATGTGATGTTCAGGAATGTGTAGACTTCATCTTTGCAGCATTTTAGAAACTTACATGGGTAAATGAACCGTCGTCTGTAACAGGGTGGACGTAATACCATATTATTGAGTTAAATATGTATACTATTTCAAGAATATATGTGCTTGAGGTGGAAAAAACATTTGTTTCTGGAGGATCCGTGAATACTTCATCGGTTACAATGCTGAAAAAAAAAATCTAAATTAGGAAAATTGAGAGGTTGCAGGGCCACAAATTGTCCTCTTTTCGTAGAATGACGCAGATAAATACAAGCCAAGCTGTCCATCATGTCTCCCCTGCATGTCAATCACATTGTTGTTCTTGTATTAAGACTAGAAACTCAGAGGGCTGTTGGCTGTTGTTGAATATTATTAAGAAAGGATTTCTCTTTTTTTCTTCTATGCTAATGTCTTTCTGGGTTTTGTTTGTTTGTTCTTTGTTTCCTAGGTGACCTGGCCGTGTTTCGCAATGACGTGGTGTTCTGGGTGACGTTCAGTTGCATTGTGCTAATTGTACCTCTCTTCTTCATCCGATGGCCAAGAGAGGTACTGACCAACATCCTGCAGAACATCAGAAAAACCATGTGTCAGCGTGTAGTGTGGCTTATCAGTGCAATGTTGTGTGTAAAGCTGACATAATGTTAACTTCCAACTTTGGGTGGTTTTGTACGGCCACAGTTTTGTGGAATTGTTACGTTTAGCTTTCGAGAAGCTCTTGTTCTGCAAAAAGTGTTCAGTGGTTCTATATCGTAACCAATCGCTCTGAAGAGAAGTGTGAGTGAAATGTGTCTGTGTGTGTTTCAGGGAAATATAACAACATGTGGCGTAGTCGGGGCATACACGGTTGTGCTGGCTGTTAACGCCTACACCTACACAAGCCTGTCTTACATCACCCTGGATATCCTTAAACGCTTCCTCAACAATAACTTCAGCAGAGCTTTCATCTCAGTTCCACTGCAGAACATCGGTGAGACACAGCCTACTGCAGCACTCGCTCTCTCAAATGCACTGCAGTTATTTAGGATACTCGATTTTCTACACATTCTACTCCACAACTTTCAAGTGCAGAGTTTTAAATGTTAAGAAGTTGAAATGCAAAAAGTATAAGGATAGGTTATGCTACTGTGGTACAGTCATATGCAGGAGGTTGGGCAGCCTAGTCAGATTACATGTTTTGTTGATTTTCTAAGTGAAAGTAAGTCAACACATCCACTACAGAGAACACTTCTGCACATTTTAATACACAATTACTGTTTACTTGCTGAATTTAACATAAAAAATGTGGTCTGTGCAAAAGTTCTAGCACATTTTATATTTCATGTTTTATTTTTTCCAGTATTTTAAACTCAGAGAATATATAGTGTGCACTAAAATGTGCACTAAAATTATGTCACTCAAAAAAACAACAAAACCTAATATTTGATATGTGCACTGAAACTTTGCATATGACTGTAACTATAATGTCCTTTGATTGTGGTGTTCTTGTATAAGCGCAGGAGAATAATGAATAAAAAAAGAACGGTTCAGTTTGATTCGTCTTTCAAATTTAATGTCATGATTTGGTTTAATAATAAATTTTCTTTTTCTTTAATATGCTAAAGAACTGTCTTTAAGAATAAAGAGTCTCCTAAGGAACAGTCTTTATTCAACACGATGTACACTCACTGGTCGCCTTATTTACACTGGAATGAACTGTCTCTTGCCAGCTTATGAAAACTCCATTATATATAATCTTATTTAATATTTCCCACCCCTACTTAAAATCTGGATTTTTAAGGTAGCTATTCTGATCTCTCTCCGTCTCCTCCAGATTTCGTCATGATCACAGTGTGGGTGGTTCTGGCGGTCTCAGGCATTGTGGTACAGCTGTACAGGGAGCGTTCGCGGCCCTTCTTCCCACCTAGCCCGTACGTGATGTGGCGCCAGGAACGTGAGAGGCGGAAGACCAACGTCCTAGACCCAAGCCATCACACTCCCTCGTTCCCTGCACGCCTGCTGGCCTGTGCGCGCCAGCTCACACGCCACACGGAGCCTGCGGGTGAGCGCACGCCCCTCCTGCTCTGACTTTCTGACCTTTCACTGATCTTTCTGTGGATGGTCTACTCAGCCTGTACCCTGTACCCCTCTGCTCCTGAATGAGGACGCACAAAGCTGACGAAAGGAGGACCGGTCCAAAGGCCTAAAAGAGGCGAGAGGCCCTGCTAGGCTACAAATTACTAGGACTTTGGGGTTTCTGGATATGACCCTTTCAGTAGCTTCCTATACATATACACATAGACGACTTCTAGATTGTGCTCTTTTCTACCAGAGCATAGTGGCTGCTGTGCTCACTACCACATGGAGCATCAGCAGTAAAGTGTTCTTAAAAATCATAGGTCATATGGCTGGTCACCTTCGTATGATTTGGTCAGTGGCCTGGCCTCTAGCCTCACAGTGAATCCTTTAGGTGTGTGTATATATAGCTGTTGCAACAGCCCCTGTAGATTGTGAGCTTGTATGGTGCAAAGTAAAAGGACACAAATTATAATGTACTGACAGACTCTGCAGTGGATTATGTAAACATATAAAATGTATTAGGACTGGGCTGGCCCTAAAAGAAGAGCTTCGGTAAAGTGGATGGACTATAAGCCCTCTGTCAAACCACAGGCTTTCTTTTGTTGTTTTTAACCATGTGAAGGAGCCACAGACAAAAAACAGCAAAGTAATTACGAGGCACAGTGACTGGTTGCTTTTAAAACCTTTTTTTTTCATTCTTTCTAAAAGACGCCTGCCTAATGAACTGCACACTTCCTAATGTAGTGATAAGCTTGTCTCAGCATTCAGTCTCCGATTTTAAACTTTCTTTGTTTCCAATATCACTTCAGTGTAACTAGATATTTTAAAGCTTCTGTTTTTTTGTTTTTTTTTATTCAAAGGCGAGTTACCCAAAGGCACAAAGGTCACTCTAAGAAGGTAGAGCGACAATCACTTTGAACACCCTCTCTAATAGTTCAACTGATCTTAACACTGTGATGCTTTTGGGAAACTGGGCCTGACTTCATCACTTGGGTTTTTCCATTCAAGTCTCAGAATGCTCGTGCTTAATAGATTGCTGTTTTTTAAAGTGCATGAATTATGGACTTTGGAGGAAAAAAGCCCAAACAGACCAAAGTCCAGAACGTGGAAGGTATATCCCTTCATTTTGCCTTTTTAAATAAGTTATTGATTAGGGAGCCATCATGTGTTGATTTAATCTAATAACTGAAAAGTTTAGTTTGTGCCACTGATCATTAGCCAGATTATAGGCCCACATAATGATAACCTATTATAGGCCACATTTACTGTGGCATTCTCATAGGTTATCAATAAAATCCCTGGAGGAAGATGACCGCAGATATCTGTCAGTTAACTCTAACTGTGGATCCTGCTGGTAAATTTTCCTTCAGTACTTTTTAGCCACCTCTGTGATTCAGATCTTTTACCTTTTTCCTTGTTACATCAGATGCTACAGTTCACCTGCACTATGAATTGGTTTCTAATATTTTGTCACACTTTGCACTTAGCATGGGAGTGATATTGAATATGAAATATGGTATTTTATGTAGGCAAAAAATGTAGCATACTACTACTGTGTATTTGTCACGTGGGCCCTGCAAAGCTGTTCATGCTTACTGCAGGAATTTGCACATCCAGGGAATCCTGGAGAATATTGGGAAGCTGTATTGATAGGAATCTCATAACCACATTTATGCTGTAAACCCCCTGCTGAATGTTTAAAGGGGAAGTCAACCTGTCTGCGTAATTAAATAGTAATTTAAAGTGGTTTGATGTGAAATATTCCATTCTAGAGAAACATACTGTATTAGAACTGCTTACAGCAGTGGCCTCCAAAAGAGTTTAATGCCTCTAAAACTCCCTCACAGAAAGGTAATACATGAAATTGTGACCAATACGTTGCCTGATGGCTGAGACATTGTTTTACGATAGTTTTAGAATAATATTTTGGCCTAAAAACGTAGGTTTTTAAGTCCATTCTTAGCGGAGTGGTAGATACAGGAGGTTGTACGGCAAAATATTATCCAAAGAAAGCTTTTTATTTTTAGGTTTACCACTGTTGTACCATTACTGACATTATATTTAAAAACTCAAGACACATGGGGGTGTGCATTTCGGATAATAAATAAAACGGCTGTGTTGTAGACATTACAACCCCTATTTCCTATCACCACAGCTGAACTATTTCACATGAAACCACACTGAATTATGCAGATATTTCTGAAACATTGGTGGAGTCCCATTTTTAAAAAGCACTTATTTAGAGGAGAATGCTGACTCGATAATGCTTATGTGAAACGCACAGTCCAGATGACAAGATTTGGAAGTGTAGAATCCCTGCCAGTGTATTTATTTATACTATTTTCTGTGTCCTCTAAAGGTCCCTCTGTGAATGTGTCTTAGGTTCCAGACACAAGCCACATAAGAAGATGGGGATGTTTAACACATAATCTGAGTGCTTAAATCTACATGCAGAATGTGCCGTGTTTTGAGTGCTGTTTATTTGGGGGCCAGTTTCTCTCTTCTCAGGGTTTTTGCAGTAATACCACTGATTGCCATGGCCCATTGTAATTGTCCTCGTTCTTGCCGGAATAGGAACTGCAATGTTTGATGTAGCTTCAAACTGATGGCTTGATTGATGTTATTGCCTGATGATTGCAGGAACCTCTTGCTTAAATTTCTGTCCCGTCAGAACTGACACTTTAAACACTTTTGTCGGTGATGACTTGTTTTCTAAGTCCTTTTTCTTTTTTTTTGCAAAATATTTAACTCTATTTTGTAATAGCTAAATGTAATAAAGTTGTTCGTAAGTGTCATAAAACTTTTGATTATTCTGTTCCAGTTAGACTTAAACTCCTAGGCCACATTTCACTGTCAAACACACATTACAATTCTTTCTTGTCCTAGAGGCTTAGATATCTGTACTTATCCTATTACACAGTCTGAGGCATAAACTTTAATTGGTTTAGTTTTTAGGGCCTAACAGTGTTTTGTAGCTTGATTTTCAGAAGATGGATGATTAAGGTGGGCAGTGTAACAGTAATAATGTGTCCCGTAGTATTTAAAAATGATGAATGTATATGAAAATTACAACCATTTCATGACTGGACAGCTGCATTTCCTGATGAAAATGTAGAGTGCTTGCCCAGCTTAAGCAATTCCCAGGTGGTTGCTATGGTGTCAAGATGGTTACTTAGGTGTCGTTAGGTGTTTTGCTATGGTATCCCAGGAGTCCTGCCATTGCCACTGGAAAATCCACACAACACTGTCATCAAAACAGACTATATGAGGTTATAATATAGTAATATTGTACACAGAAACTGGTAATATTTGGAGACAGTTTACAAGTATGGACAAAGTGGATACCACCAAACCTTATGTGTGACACTGTTTTTACTAAATCGTTCAGTTTCCTAAGAAAGGCCTTCCTAATAAGAGTCACAGACTGCACTGTAAGCTTCTTCCCAGAGCTCAGGGATTAGTCTAGACCAGGGTGATGTTCAGCAGTTTGGTGATTTCCCTGCTCATATATACCTGGCTTAACTCATCTGTTAATTACCAGGTTTAGTGGATGTGTTTCACAAGAGAAATCACCAAACTGTGCTGGACACCAACCCTCCAGGTCCAGAGACAAAGAACCCTGGTCTAGGCATTCAAAAGGCACACAGCTTTACTGAAGTTCATTATTAACTACTATTGTTTTGTATTAAGAGTTCAAAATACAACTTTAATACATCTGAAATACAGTTCAAACAGACACTCTCTCATACACAAACACTCACAAAACATCAGAGCATCATGTGCGAAGGCAGCCCTAAAACAACGCAAAAGCAAAACTAAACCTGTCCTCTCAAGGGACTACATATGTGCCATTTGTTGCTATCAGCCATGACATATTTACAGAACTCATACAGGGTGCACGTCTCAATCTGATAACAGCTATGATAACGAGCAGGCTGTGCTAAGTGAACCTCGGCGCCCTCGACCCGCCCACCAAATGCCACAACACAGACAAAACAGAGCCGGGATCAATACTACTGGAGGGTGGATTAGCTGTTTTTCTTTTTTACATCAACCAGTGTCCCAAAAGATCTTGAATAATTCCCCAACTAAATGTGCAACGGGGAAAATAATTACAATAGGCTGTCTATGTTCACTTTAATCATTAGGCTCCAACACTAAACGAGAAGTTGGGTCATTTAGTGACCGTCCCTCCTCATACATGGTCAGGCTTTACTGTAACTGACTATGTTCAGAGACTGTGCCAGAATGGGGTAATAAATATGGCTCTGTAATGGCACCTGCTGCAGAGGCCCTGTGGCTGTAGAGTAAGTGGTACAGATCTACTTGGATATGCGTGAAAGGACAGGTTCCGGTAAAACAAGACAAGCCTGCGTGAATGCAGGCAGGAGGAGTTTAGGGTCTCTTTTTCAGAGAGGAGATTCAAATAGTGCTCTGCAGTGTACGTGTGCCTGTACACATGGTGTTGCGTGTCAAATGCAATCAGTGTTATGCAGAGTCCGTTGTTTGGGGTGCTCTAGCTCTTCCTCATGCTCAGGTCAGTGCTGGACACTAGTGGAGACAGGGAAGTGCTGTCGGACGCCTCCTCTCTTTTCAGCACCAGAAAGGCCTCTCGACTGATCCCCAACAACTCCCGCAGGCCTCGGTTCTCCAGCTACGCAGACAGAAGAACAGAGAGTACTCAACAGGTTCATGACTTCTGTGTGTGCATATAGATTTGGGATGTAAAAGTGGTCTAACCTCCAGCTGTTTGATCCGCTCCTCATCTTCACACACTCGTCCTTCGTCCACCTCGATGGCCTTCCTCATTACTGTAGCCATCTCATTTATCTTGTCTATGTGCGCCTGCATCTCCTATACAACGCATAACTGTCCTTAGACACGAGTCACTGCAATGTACACTACAGTTACAATGTACAAAAGTCTGGAATCAATGTTTTTAATAATATAAAAGTGATTTGGTTACAAATAAATAAATAAAATGATTCTAATATGCTAATCCTGTAAAACTTCACATACTTCAAATAATTAATAGGAAGCTAGTGGCCAATCATGCTCACGAGATTTTAGCTGATGATTAACTGCCATATAAATAATTGTGATTCACTATTTAATTGACAGTGTTTTGTTCATTGTATACAACTATTAAAAGTTCAAGTCTAAAGTGTCCAAACTGTCTGACTGGTTTGCTTCTTGCTTCCTAGCTGTCGATGCTTAGTAGCTCCCAACTGAGCACAGGAACAAATAAAGCTCAAACAGACGAACATTTCGCTAAATATGTAATTAACAAAAACTAAATAAACAAGCATTTCTCACTGCTACCCTCCAAAGGGGTTATTAACAAACATCAAATCTACAAACATTACTCAGCGCTGCTCTATAAAGGTTATAACACCAGTCAGGAGTTAGAACTTTGTAATATGAAAAATAAATGTGTTTTTTCTGCTTTATTTTATTCACATGTATTTGCCTCAGCCCAACAGATGAAAACACATTTCAATTCACATTCAGTTTGTTGCAACATAAGCATATTGCGAAAGCACAACTGTGTAAAATAACTGATCAGCTCAAGTAATTGCGATCGGGTGATTATGTAATAACTGTAACAGGCCTAGAAGTTGGGTAACTTTTTTTTTTTTTTAAATGTAAGATATTTTAAATGTGTGCAGAATGATGACCAGAGATCTAGATGACACTAAAATGACTGAGAAAGCTGTACAGCATTGAGAATAAGAATTCTGTATGAATTTCCAAAATTGAATTTGAAAAAAGGTGATCAAATGTTGAGGCACACAACAAAAACTCTTGCAAATAGATAATAGCAGTATACAATTTATTATTCAATAACTGTGTTCTCAAAATATTTAATTAAATACCTACCTTGTGGTGCGTGCCTTATAATATTTAAATCTTCATTACATAATTATATACTAACTAGTTCTAATAATTGTTGAAAGTGCACAATTACTGTTTATTTGCTGAATTTAACTTGTTGGGAAAAAATGGGGCTTGTTATGGCAAAAGTTATGGCATGTTTTATATTTTACGTTTCCTTTTTTTCCCCAATAAGTTAAACAAAAATAGATATTATGAAGCAAAATTTGCACAAAATGTTCTCTGTAGATGATGTGTTTGTTAACTTTTTTCACAGAACACGTCATTTGACCAGGTGATGTTTAATCTTTCGCATACGTCTATACAATCAATCGCTCTGTATCATTTAATTGACAAATACTATTAATATGGCATGATTCCAAACTTCTGAACTTTAGTGTGTCAACACACTTGTTTGTATCAGTCCAGTGTGCGTGTGTTTACATGTCTGTGTGTGTAAAATCATGTAGTACTCACGTTAGTGTGCTGTTCTTTTAGCTGTGTGACAATAGCAGGGTCATCTCTCTTGCGGGCCATGAGGAGGCGGAACACCTGCTCTCTATATTTACTCATGATCAGCTCCAGAGCGGACTGGTGCTCCTCTAAAGACAGACGCAACTCTACAACCAGACAGAGGAAGACAATTTAAACTATTTAAAATATCGATTTATCATTTTAATAAGATTTTCAAGTTTGGAGATCAGGGTACACAGACAGATACTGCAATATATAATACGTCTAAGTCGGAAATAGAAGACATTTCCCTGCGAGTGAACATATGTGTGATTTATTATTCTGCAGAGTAAAGCACACACCTTTGTTTTCCTGCTGCAGTTCCCGTATTTGTCGGTTCTCTTGCTGAATGCTCATAACTAGAGTGGATCGTGGTCGATGCCTCGCCACTTGGTTCAGTGCCTCAATCTCTTCCTGATACTGGACAGAGCCAAGAAAAAAAACACAAAACATCTCTCAGATTAAGGCAGCGCATCAACTCCAATCTTGCAGCAGGGTAACACCGCAGAGTTTCTTGTTTTCCCCACTTTAACATACTAATCCAAAGGGGAATTACACTGATTTTTCACAATTTCACCATAACTAATTTATTAAGATATAAATAAAGTCATTCAGAATGTTTTAATGTAATTCAGAATTACTTACTGAGTCAGTATCCTGCTTAAGGCCCAAGACATTGTTTTACAATAGTTCTGAGATAAAGTTTTGGCCAAAAAATAAGTTTTAAGATATCTCCGGTGGAGAGATATATGCAGGACGTTGTAAATCAGAATATTACCAATATAAAACAATTTTACCATTTAGTGCTATTTTACCATTATCAGCAATTTAAAAACACATGTAGGTTCATTGGTCATTTTGGATAGTGAATTAAATGGCTATGCGACCTCTGGTTCCTGTCACACCACTGTAGTTGTTAAGTAGTTGGTTCACACCAAACCACACTGAATTTGCTTCACATCACAGTTGAATAATTCAGCTGAGAAACACTGGCCTAAAACATTCTTAGCTATGTAAACTGTTCAGATTATCTTTCCAACAGACATTCTCATTTTATTCCTTTAAAGGGAAACTCCACCGATTTCTCAAAAATTCTACATGATTAAATACTTGAGATGTAAGCAAAGTCATTCAGAGTGGTTCAGTGTGAAATGCTTTGTTCTAGAGAAACTTACTGAGTCAGAATTGTTCACAGTGATCATGAAAAGAGCCAGACGTCTGACATCAGAGTTTAATGCCTCTGAAATCTCCCTCACAGAAAGTTATCACATGAAACGGTTGGATATAAGCAGCCTAATGTCTGACACATTGTTGCATGATAGTTTTGTGATAAAGTTTTGCCTTAAAAAATGTTTTAATTTGAATCCATTCATGGCCGAGGAGTACATGCAGTGTGTTGTAAGCAAAAAAGTC